CGCGTCGCCGGCTTCGACGCGGCGTTGCACCGCCACAGCGACAGCGCTCCCATCGCCTCGATGCTGCAGGGTTACTCGTCGGGCGTCGTTCCTGCCCACGATCTGCAGCTGGGCCACGGTGGGCAAATCCCGCAAGAGCGGCGGGACCGACTTCCGGCAACGATTGAAGTGGTCTTGAACACCAAGTTTTATGCGTACGATCTCGCGCCCGTGCTCTCGCACCTCGCTGTCGGCAGCGCCTCGTCGATGCCGCTTTTGACGCCGGCAGTGCGGACGATGAAGAGTTTTGGGACGCTGCTCGTCCTCTTGCCGACGTTCTCTGATGGCGGCCTCGTGACGGTCACGTACAAGACGTATTCGACGCCGCTGGTGACGAGCTCAACCAGCGCCACGTTCGCGGTCGTGCACCGCAGCGCTTCGGTGTCGATGGCGCCCGTCACGGCCGGGCACGTCGTTGTCGCTGTCTTTGATCTCGTTGGTCAGCACCCGCCGCAGATGGGGCCTCCTCTCTCGCCCGCGTTTGAGGCCGCAGTCGCGGCCTTGATCGACGTGGCGTCGGCACCTCCGGTCGCCTACAACATGATTGGCTTTGCGGTTCGGCGCGGCCTTCGTTTTGAGGGGTTCAGTCACTGTAATCCTCAGGATGCGGCGTTCCTGGCGGCGCTCCTTGAGTCCAAGGCCTTTGACGTTGCCGGTGTGCTCGTGCAGCCGCGCCTCGGCAACGCGGACGCGCCTCATGAGATTATTTCTGGGACGATGCACCCGGCGCTGGGGCTTGAACCCAATGTGCTGAAGTACTGTGCGTACAAGGTGCCGGCCTTTCTCGGCAACGTCGAGGCTGATGAGCTGCGCCACTCGGGGAAGAAGATGTGCTTCGTCTTTTGGCCAACGGCTCGTCGATCGCGCGTTTTCGTCTTCGAAGCAAGCGTCGCCTCTCTCGGGGCCATCGCCGACGCGGTTGTTCGCCGTCGCTGCCTCGAGGACATACTTGATGATGCGGACGGCCTTGTGTCTTCGGTCATGTGCAACGAAATTTCTGGCCATGGGATCTGCTTCTCTGCCGACCTTGGTCGCCACGTGAACGACATTGGCGACATTGGCCTCGTCAAGCGCTTCTGGGCCCTGCGCGCGACCGTGGTTTGCAACGACCACCTTCATCTCTTTGCGCCGACGGTCCATCGCGCGCTCGAGCTCTTTGGCGTCGACGCCCTCATGCCGGCGCTCGAAGCGCTTCTCTCAAGCTGGCAAACGACGTGGGCCGGCTTCGTGAGCGGCGTCCGCCTTGTCGCGAGCCTCGTCGGTGTCTCGGACATGGCCGTCTGCTTGCGCCTCTACAAGGTTCTCTTCCCCACACCATCGCCACCCAGATCGCCACCGCGAGACCTGAAGCAGCTCTTCCAGGCGGCGCTCATCGACGCCGCGCGCCTCGAAGCCTACCTCTGGGACGATCCACTGCACGGCATGATGCTCCCAGAGCTCTCCAAGCTCGTATACGCGTACCGCCCGCCGTCGTGCTTGGAAGCGCTCGTCGTCAAAAACACGAAGATCGCTTTCCACCCGTGGACGGTCTTGGCGCCGGTGGTTCTCGCGCTTGCGCCGACCCGCGTCGCATGGTGCGACGCGCTCTTGCAGGCCAATGCCACGACTTGCGAGGTTACACCGTTTGACGTCGACGCTGTGGAAATGGCTGACGAAGAAGACGACGACGTCAAGGTTGTCGCCAGCGATGCGGCCAACGTGCTTTGCGCCCTCGATGCCATGGACGCACTCGACTTGGCGACGCTACAGCGTATCTTGGCCATGGCGCGCCGCACGGCGTCGGAAGCACTCTGGTTGTTTTTCAACGCAGTGCCGGCGGCGGCCCCGCGCTACCTCGACCTCGTCCTCTCGCATGTGGTCGATCCCGATGCGGCGACGCTGCGGGACATGGTTCTGAACCAAACAACCTACACGATCGAGACGCTCGCACGCTGGTCGCCGGCGTCGCTCGACCCGCTGCATGGTTTGATGTCGGGCCGCGACGACAACCCGGACCTGCACCGCGCCTTTCTGCACCGCCAGCAGCGAGCGGCGACGCCTTTCGACCGAGAGCTCGCGCTCACGACGCTCCGCGCCCTCGAGGCCGAGGACAACGTGGTGCAAAACGAGCCGGTGGACGTGGACGTTGACTTTGAGCCTTGCTGTGCCCGCTGCGATGAGTTGGATGATTTTCTCGACTCGCCGGCGATGGTGACGTGGAACAGCCCACGGCCAGTGTGCATCACCATCAGCCGGTTTGCCACGAACCACGCTCATGTGATCGACATGATCCACATGTACGACCTGACCGTCGTGACGAAGCGGCTGCCCCAGCGCGAGCGCCGCGACCAAGGTGCCATCATGATGGATTGGCTCCAGCGACGCCTCGCCGAATACAACGACGCGCACCAGTGCGCCAACACCGTCGATGGCAACAACACCGTCGATGACGCCGATGATGAGCCCGCGCCTAAGCGCGTCAAGGCGCAGTAGCTGCTTCTTTCTCTTCTCTTCAGTTTGCATGCGTGTATCCTCGTAAAAGTGCGTCAAACCAATCAATCTATGTCTCTCCTTTTGCCTTGACGCTTCTCGTTCTTCATGCACTGTCTGTGAGGCACACAAGTCGACATGAGCGCTCTTCTGTCTCTCGAACTCTGTGCTGTTGCAAGGCGGTCGTCGCCAAAAGACCAAGAGGCGAACAAGCAGCTCACCACAGTCGCCCATTTGCCAGCTCCAGCGCCAGCTCCAGCATGCAGGACGTCGACGCGGGCACCGAGCCGTACGCGGCCGCGCACCGCCTCCTCGTGGGGGGCACGAGCTACACGCACTACGTCTGTCAGGGGCCGCTCGACCCCGTAGACGTCCCGAGTCTTGGTCAACTGGATCTCGCTCACATTTCGCCCAATGGCCTTGCGCCAATGGAATTCAATCGAATGTGTTTGTAACGAATACAAACGCCAAGATGAATGCAAAACGTCTTGAAAATAAAATCAATCCATTGCATCTCGACACTCGAAACGGGATGCTGCCGCTGTACAAGCGCGGCCTGCACCTCGTGACGCTGGCCAAGAGCCGGCGCCATCGCCGCTACGCGACGTTCGCGGTCGTCAGCGCTATCCTCATCTGCATCCTCACACTGGCCATGTACGCCATGTACAGTGCGCTCTCCGTTGCCGAGAGCGACCTCACGCCACAGCCCTCGCTGCAAGTGCGTGGCCCGGAGATCGAGTCTGGCATGGATGCTACCGCCGTCTCCAAGATGCCAGCACCCACGACAGTTATATCGCCGATCGAAGAAGGCGACGACGACACGAGGCCACCGCCGCCCGCGGTCGAGCGCTTCTGGCTCGTGCGCCTCCTCCTTCCGTTGGTCGCTGGCTTTGTCTTTGGCTTCCTTGGCTCGATCCCGATCGCGGGGCCGACGTCCGCCATGGTGCTCAAGATGGGCATCCAAGGCGAGTACTGGGCTGCGCAGTCCATCGCGCTCGGCGGCGCCGCGGCCGAAGCCGTACGACACCTCCATGCAACCGTGTTTCCTCATGTGAGAGCCTAGACGTATGCTGGCGTAGCGTTCTGGGGCTTTGGGAGCTTCCTCGCCGGCCTCGACTTTCTCCTCCCGCTCTCCAAGTACGTCCGTAGCTGCTGCATTGATGGAAATGCAACGTTTCGAGTAGGGTGCTTGGCGCGGTCATGCTCCTGGCCATTGGCACGTACTTCTTGCGGCTCGACGTGCGTCCGCAGATCGACTCGGACGCCGACGTGCACTCAAAAGTGCACCACGACCGGTCGTTCTTGACGTCGCCGATTGCGCGCGCCGAGCTCCTCAAGAACATCCTCATGGGCTTTACCATGTCGGGCTTCAACCCGGCGCTTCTGGCCACATACACGGGGGCCCTCGCCAGCGGTACAACGTCCCGCATATTCATTCGATGTCGAATATTGGACATGTATTGTCTAGTCTACCATACGGGGCTGCTCGAATTCACACTCTTTCTGGCCATTGTCTTTGGCGTCGGCGTCTCGTGCGGTATCTCGACTTGGTTTTATGTACTCCTGTCGCTCTTGAAGAAGTACAAGCAGGTAAAAGCACGTTCGACTCGCGTCGCTTCCTCGAGGGTTCGACTAAAGATCTTATTGATTGTCTGGTAGCGACTAAAGAACCAGACCATCGGACTCATCTTGCGCTGCATGGGCGTCTTTATGATCTGCCTCGGCCTCCTCTGCACCAAGTCGGCGGCCGTGTACTTTCTCTTTAGTTAATCGCTTTCCAACTCGACTACGCGTTGTCTTACGGTGTCGCATACAGACGCCGGAGGTCGAGAAGCGCTTCATTGGCGTCGCCCGCCACGCTGTGCAAGTGGTCAAGCAGCTGCGAGAGGTCGTCGCGCTGGGCGTCGGTTAGGAACGAAAGCAGCAGCGAGCGGCGCCGCGTCGTCCCAATCGCCGCCAGAATGGCCATGCTGCGGTGTACGAGCACCTGCTCGGCCTCGAACGCGTCGATCTCGCCGTCGGGGTTGACCGCTCGCAGCGACCGGCAGAGGCACGCGACGATGCTGCCAAAGAGGTCGGCGTCGATCTCGGCCAGGAAGAGCTTGGCGAGCCGCGCCGGCGTCGTGCGCTCCAAGTACCTACAGGAACATCGATCAACCGTCGTCCTCGTCGGGGGCAAGCGATATATGTGTAGTACTGGAGCTTGGCGGCGTCGGTCGCGCAGCTCCGCTGCCACGTGCGTTGAAACTCGACCGACGACTTGGGCGGCGCCGCGCCGTCGTCGGCGCCCGTGAGCGTCGCCGGCCGCGTCGCCGGCATCAACGATGCTTTCTTCTTGTGGTATAGACGGTTGCGCTGGCGCTCGCTCTTGGAGAGATTCTGCAGCTCCTTCGACGTCACGGGCTTGAGGTCGGCGCAGAGCACGAAGTTCTAACCAACGAACGTCGTGAGCCTCGTCGCCTCTGTGCAAGACATTGTCGTGCCTTGAACTCGTCGTAGGACGCCGCCGTGTGAATCGCGCGCTTCTTCATCTCGTCCGTCGCCTTGTACTTGCGGTCTTCGTCCAGCGCCTGCGTTAGCTCCTTCTGGAGCGACGCCGTGTCGAACGTCCCTTCGTAGATCGATGCCATGCGTGTGTCCTTTCGCGATCCAAACTGCTCGCCGATGCCGAATGCAAAAGATTAAATTCGGCATCGACGGGGTATCCGGATACGAGCCCTGACGATTTACGATTTGCTGAAACGGCTCGGAAACGCGGCAACGGCCGAGTTTGTCCCAGTGCGATACAGTTTGTCCCAACGCGCCACTTGATGTGCACGGTGGACTGGGCGCCGAGCCCGAACGCGGTTGCGACGAGTGCCAATAAAGTAGCCTGTGCTCGCCCATGGGTAGAGCGCTTGAAGGGTGGCGCATGGGCGTCCGAGACGGACGTTGATACTACAGGGCCACCCATCTTGTCAACGGCCGGCGAAACTACTGCCGTTGGCCTCGCGAAGATGGCGCTCCCGTTCTTAGAGTTACATTTTCGAGCTTATTTCGATAGACGCTGCCATGGACCGGGGTCGCAAAGCGCTGCCGACGCTCAACAAGCACACGGACTCCAAGTTTTACAGCCGATGCCAAACGATCCACAAGAAGAAGCTCTCGACGATCAAGAGCTGCATTGACAACTCGGAGCCGACGCGGCCGGCCCATTTGCGCAAGAACCTCAAGAAGGAGCAAATGAAGGAGGAGCGGTACGCGACGATCGAGCGCGAGAACCGCATTCTGCTCGAGAAGATGAGCTTCATCATGCAGCACGACACGCTCGACAATAAGAACGACTCGATCAAGCACGGCCATAGCCTCAACAAGGGCCAGCGCAAGCGCGACCTCGAGCGCATCACGGCCGAGAACCAGGTACGATTGTATCGTCTCTCTCGATATGCGACTCTAATATCTGGATTAGTCAATCCTGCGCCGCATCCAGACGCGCCAGCCCACGTACGACCACGTGCAGTGGGAAGAGGAGGCCAAGCTGCATGAAAAATACGCGCAAAACATCCGCGAGTTTCCCGAGCGCTACGCCGGCATCGGCGAAGGCGACGAAGACTTTTATGACGAAGAGACGTCGCGACTGCAGTACAGCTCGTCGGCTGCTTCTATCAACTAACAAGTAACTATCCAACAATATAACGAATAACTATCCAATACAACACCATCCTCGATCCCATCTCACCCGCGAGGCTACGAATGCGAATCAGTCGTTTGCATCCATGGATGATGTTGTGCTGCAAGCAAAGATGATGTGACTTGCTTCCTGTAATCCCTTGAAATCCTCTTGAAATCCCCACCTCAACTCGCATACTTCCACGACGACAAAACCATGGCCCCGGTGTGCTGCGCTCCACAAGCCTCCACTCCTCGGGCAGTGCAATTTTGTAGCACGAAACACCAAGATGTTCTATCTACTCCACTACCCTTATTTATGTGTCTCTACGTCTTATACTTAGTTGCATTACCTACACAGCGTCGGCTCTACGACGACATCAGCCGCGTCGCGGCGCAAAATACCTCTTGCGGGTTGAACTCGTCCAAGACGACGCCAAACTCGGTCACGAGCTTGGTTTCCGACTCAGTCACCTCGAAAGTCTTCGCTCACGTCGTTGAGCTGCGCGCCACTGGCTTTGATAAATGTCTCGAGCGACGCGACCGCAGCAGCACCCATGCACGGCGACGCAGCCTTCTTGCTGCCCACCAAGAGGGACTGGCACTGCCGCAGGCCGTGACTCAGCACGTCGAGCACCTCTTGGAGCTCGGAGCGCGACAAGACACTCAGATCAGGCAGATCGTGGAGCGACTGCAGCGCTGATATATGGGCGGGCAAAAGCTCGGCGCGAAGTGCCGAGATCCGGGCCATGTAGTCGACGCCAGTGATCTTTGTTCTTGTCTTCGAGCATCTATTCCCATTTCAAAATCATGGCGATAGGTTTCAAGTTGATACTTTGCAGCGTACCTGATGCAAGAGGGCAGTCGTCGCCGGTACGTCCAAGATGGCATGGCTCGCGGCCAGAATCAAGTCGATGCGCGACCGTACTTGAAGCACGGACTTGGTAAACTACAAAAGAGAGTCGCGGGTACATAAGCACAGAGTTATTGAGAGGAAGCTCCAATGTACCTTGAGCTTGAAGAGGAAAGCGTCTGCGCGGGTATTGATATCATCGACGCGAAGACACGCCTACGCGATGCGATCTTGTCCGGTATCCTGTATCCAAAAAATATCTATCCAAACACCAACGTACGAGCATGAATTTTTCGGCCTTGCCAAAGTCGGCCACGTCCCCCGTATACTTGAGAAGACTCTCCTTCTCTTCATCTATACAAAAGAGTATCCAGTCAGCACCATCTTCGATCCGATGATAAAGTATCGGATAATGACCCGTGGGAAAGAGGTTCTTGAGACACCGCACTTTTTCGAGGTTCAAAACCGACTCGTCCTACACCAGATTTCAATCTATGTATCAAGTTGATAGAAAAAGCACCATGTCGACAATCGCTTGCGCAATCTTGTCGTACTGCGTGTGAAACTCAAAGTCCGAGAGCGTCATGACAATGTTGTTGGAGCGCTTGACGTCGAGGAGTTTCACAGTCTTGGACTTGCCCTTCGGGGACCTTGAGCGGGACTAAAGAGCCATCAATACACGTCTCAGAATGCATCCAGCGGGCATCGGTACCCGTTGAAAGATGTCACTTGCGTCGGCCGCGGCCACGGTCGTCACCTCGGGGGCGGCTACATCCCAATCTATCAGCTGAGCAACGTCGCTATAGCTGTCAGGTTACCGTTAATGGCCGGCAGCGCCGTCACGACCGAGAGTCCCTCGGTCTTGCGCCGCTCGGAGAAGCTCGTCTTGACGCGAGGCGACGACGTCGGTGACGACGCCGCGCTGGTGCTGTCGTACGCCATCGTCGTCGTCGTCGTCGTCTCCAATCCGCTCACTTGGCGCGGTGTGGCCATGTAAGCCTGCCTTGCGGACCCAAGCTGGGCGCGAATGTATTGGCTTCGAGAGTCGTAGGCGGCCGGCGGCGGCGGCGCGTACTCGTACGTTGGTGATGGATGTTGCAGCGCCGGCGGACACTCCCACTGCGACACGCCCGTGTACAAGTTGACATAGTAGACATGGCCGTCGGTGGTATACTTGACGTCCCACTCGGTCGATGGATGCGGCGCCGGCGGGTACTCATAGCTGCGGGGATAATATCCAGTCGACGTGGTCTCGGGGACGTACATCGCGGCTCGGTACGCGTAGTTGTACGCAGAGGACGTCGGCGACGTCGACGCGGACCCGCCGCTCGTGTAGCCGTCGTAGTCGCCCTCGAACGTCGACGTGGACCGCGCGCTGAGCGATTTGGACGGCGAGACGTTGGTCGGGCGCTGCTTGCTCAGGGCGTCTCGAATGTGCTGGCGCGCCGAGAGAGGCGGCTCTTCCTTGGTCGGCTCGGGCTCGTACGTGGCGAGAAGCGCTTGGATCGCGCGGAGCTTGGCCTTGCGCGCCATCTTGTATGGTGTGCACATGTCTGCGTTGAGGATCGTCACGTCCGCCGCGCTCTCGAGCAGCAGCTTGACAAGGCCTTCGTGGCCAATGCTAACGGCGCAGTGGAGCGGCGTGTTGCCGTGCCCGTCGCCCGTGTTCAAGATCGCGTCGCCACCGACGTCGAGGATGTACCGGACGCACGCGTCGTGCCCGGAGAGCACCGCACAGTGGAGCGGCGTAAACCCGTTGTTCTGCACGACGCAAATGTCGGCGCCGTGGTGCAGGAGGTACTGGAGGCACACCAAGTCGCCCTGGCCCGCGGCGACGTGCAGTGGCGCTTGGTTGGCGTGGTCGACGTGGTTGACGATCTCCGTGTCCATATCGCTCTTCGCCGCGATCGAGAGCAGCTGGCGAACGCACTCGGGCTGCGACGCCTTGACCGCGATCTGCAGCGCTGTGTCGCCAAAGGTCGGGTGCGGATCGTTCTTGGCGCCCCACTTGAGGCAGAGCTCGAGGAGCGGCACGTTGCCCGAGCGACAGGCCAGGAATAAGATCGTGTCGCCCGACTCGGCCTCGAGCAGGTCGACGGGGCACCCGTCGAGGAGAAAGCGCGCGATCTCGCTCACGTCGTTGCGCTTGGCCGCGTCAAAGAGGCAATGGAGCCACGTCGTGTGGTCCGATTTCTTCTTGCCAAGGTCGCGCGGGGAAAGCGCGGAAGTCTTGAGCTCGGAGAGCGTCGCACTGGCCACCGCGGCGCCCGAGGTCTCGTGCTGGAGTAGTTTGCGCAGGCAGTGCACCCATACCTGGGCTTCCTCCTTGCTGGCGGCCGCGAGGTCGAGGGACCGCGACGCCGACACGAGCGAGAAGCACGCGTCGTCGTGAAAGAACGTGTTGCCCTTACTGCTCTGCGCGTGCTGCCGTCGAAACGCTTGGGTCTTGATGCCGGTCTTGACTTCCAGCACATCGTGCAAGGCGATGCTATGGGCCTTCTCGTGCTTCTCCGGGTCGGTCCACGTCACGCAGAGGCCGCGTTTCGGAACATCGTTGACGATGACCCACTTGCGCTTCGGCGCGCTTGTCGACTTGGCGTGATACGGGACCTTGAACATGAGTGTGCCTTTCCGCACCGGCGCGTCCCAGAGACTCGACCGATTCTCGCCCACGTCGTTGTACTTGACGGTAGAGAGCGTCACCCGCGGCTCGACCGGCTTGTCGATCGGCGACGGTGTCGGCGGCAGTGGCGCGACGGGGCACGCGACCGGCAAACTGTCGAGCAGCTGCAGGAGTAGCTCGACGACGCCGACAGGTTCCGAGTGCTTTTCCCGTACGAGCGGAATGCAGTGCGTCGTCGGAGCGGACGAGAGGTGGAGCGACCGCAGCACGACAAAGGCCTCGCCAATGACGGTCGTGCTCGCCTTGGCAGCGAGCTGCATCGTCGTGTCGTCGACCGAGAGGAGGCGGCGCGTGAACGACTGGTGCCAATGCGCCTCGGAGCCGCCTTTCTTGTACTCGGCGGTGCGAAATCCCGCGTCTTCGCAGCTCAGCTTGAGCTCGAGGTACGGCGCTTGGACGCCAAACTTGTGGACCTTGAGCAAATTGGTGGCGCCGACGACCGTGACGCCCAAGTACATACAACTACTACGACTGGAACTGGAACTGCTGCTGCTCGTGGCCGTGAACGAGCCGTCGGATCGATGCAGCGGGGGCACCGCGGGCGTCAACGGCGAAGGCTGCTTGACAGGCGAGTCGTAGATGACGACTTCGGGTGCTGGCTCTTCGATCTCGTCCACCGTCGTCGGTGGTGGCGTCGTCGGTGGCGCGTCCACAATGACGATCGGCGCCGTCACCACGTATTTATGGGCATTGGCTTTGGCCGGCGACGCGCCAAAGCGCTCGAGAAAGCCGCGCGACGGCTTCTCCGAGAGACACGACTTGGGCACGAGGTCGACCTCGGTGAAGACGTCGTCGCCACCGGCGTCGTCGGGCGTCTGCATCGGCCAACGGTTTCCGAGCCAATTTGATCAAAATACCCACCGACGCCGCGACCAAAATACATACGCGAAACAACAACGAAACCATTCGTCGTCGTATTCAACAACATTAGAAGCTACTGCGTCGCCAGCAGCGCCGACGCCACCACGATACGCGGGCGGCCGCAGAGGCCGACGCTCTCGCACGCGGTCGCAGGGCTGGCACCCGCGTCGAGGGCGGCCACGAGCTTCTCAAACGACTCGTTGACCGCATCGCACTAGCCGCGGCCACATCAGCGCCGTATACAGACAGGAGAAAAGACGATACCTCGACAGCCGGCGGAAGGACGCTGTACATGGTTGCAATCGCTTCACGCAGCTTGGGCAGCTGCGACTTGTCGACGTGGGCCACCGCTGCGATCGACGTCGCCGCGTACTTGCAAAAGAGACAGCCTTCCTGCGTCGTCACCGTCTCGGGGTGTGCGATCCACTGGGCGACGCGCGCCTCGAGGGCGGCAACCTCCGGCTGCACCATCGGTTTGGCGGCGCAGAGCACAACCTTGGCGCACGCCACGTTGGGCGGCTTGCCGTCTTCAATGAGCTCGGCGAGCGCGTCAAACTTGGTCACAATCGCATTGCACTAACGATGACATGACGTCTCTATCCACTCGACAAAAATGTGTACCTGCTCGTCAATGCCCGTGCCTTGCAGGCGGGCGCAGAGCACCTCGAGGCCTTCTTTCAGGAGCGGAATGAGGTCCGGCGAGAATGATTTCACTTGGAGAATGACTTCGCCCGTGTACTCGCAGAGGAGGCACCCAATGAGGTCGTTCTTGCCGAGAAGGCTCTTGGTCTTGGTCTCGAGCACCGCGAGCTGGTGCATCACAAACGCTTGACCCGCTTCCACGTTGGTCGCTTCGTGCTGGATGGCTCTCTCGCACAGTTGCACCTTGGCGCAGGCGTCGGCCGCACTCACGCCTCCGTCAATGAGCGACGCCAGCGTGTCGAACTGCGCAATCACCGCATTGCACTACGTCGCCACCATGACAAGTTTGAAAAAAACGCAGTGGCTTGGCAGAATACCTCGTCCTGGAACTGGGGCACCGGAATCTGGCTGCACATGACTTCCATGCCTTCCTTCACGAGCGGCACCATGTCCTTCGAGTACGCGCCCACTTGCACAATGATCTGCGCCGTGTACGTGCACACGAGGCACTGGATCACGTCCTCTTGCGCATGCGTCGTCTTGCCGTCGACGACCGCAAGCATCTTGGCCTCAAGCTGCGCCATCTCGGTCGCGAGGAGCGCCATGCGTCCGCTGCAGAGCGCCACCTTGTGGCACGCCGCGTCCGGGGTCGCGCCTTCTTCGATCGCCGCCGCAATTGCATCAAACTTAGCAACCACCGCGTTGCACTAGGGCACACACACCATATCAAAACTGCTCTGCACACTCTTGGAGGCAGTGTACCTCGTCTTCAAATTGGGGCACTTGGATCTGGCCGCACATGGCAGCGAGGCCTTCCTTGAGGAGGGGCACCATGTCTTGCGAGTAGTCGCCGACGCGCTTGATGACTTGGGCCGTGTATTCGCAAAAGACGCATTCGACTTGGTCGTCGACGTCACTGGGCACAGTGGCAGCAATGACCGCACGGACGCGCGTCTCGAGCGCTGCCACTTCCTTCGAGACCACGTTAGCCGCTTCGCACAGCTGGACCTTGCGGCACGCATCGTGGGCCGCCGCACCGCCTTCAATGAGGTCGGCCAAGCGATCAAACTTGGCGACAACCGCGTTGCACTCGTCCTGAAACTGGGGCACTTGGATGCGACCGCACACAAGCTCCATGCCCTCCTTCACGAGCGGCACCAAGTCCTTCGAGTACGCGCTGACTTGCGCAATGAGCTCGGCCGTGTACTCGCAGAAAAGGCACTGAATCTCGTCTTCTTTCGGCGCCGCCCCGTGCACGACCGCTGTCACCTTGGCCTCCAATTGCGCGAGCGCCTTCGTCGGCAACGCGGGAAGACGCTGCGCGTCGCAGAGCTGGACGTTGCGGCACGCCACCGTCGGGCCCGTGCCGTCTTCGATGAGTGACGCCAGCTTGTCAAAGACACTCACAACCGCATTGCACTACAAGAATATGTCACGATCGCTCCTCAACGAGACATGGAGAGCAGACCTCGGATTGAAAGGCGGGCTCGGGCACTTGGGTGCACAAGAGCTGCATGCCCTGCTTGACCATGGGCACCATGTCCGTCGAGTACTCGGCGACGCGCGCAATGACCTGCGCCGTGTACTCGCACAAGAGGCATGCGATCTCGTCCTGGGACGCGAACGGTACGACCGCAAGCGACGACGCCGGCCGCGGCGAGCACATGTGGATCGTCTCGCACGTCGCCTCGGGTGTCTTGCCTTGCTGGACAAGTTGTGCGAGCGTATCGAATTGCGCGTCCATGACATTGCACTACCCTCGGTACGCGTGAGACATCGATTGGTACCATGCAAGATCATAGGTACCTGCGCCTGCGCGGGCAGCGCACTGCACATGATCGCAATGCCTTGCTTGACCGTCGGCAGCGTGGCCGTGCCGCCTTGTTTAATTGCCGACGTAACGACGCCGGCCGTGTACTCGCAGAACGAGCAGCCCAAGTACGTCGGCTCCGTGCTATAGTAGCCGCACGCCTTGACGGCCGCGCATGCCTCGTCGACCGACGACCCTGCGCGGAACTCGTTGGCAAGAGCGTCAAACGTGGTCGTCATAAACTTGCACTAGGAGAGGGTGTGAAATGAATGATGTTACAAGAGGCGGTAGGACGTACGCTCACAGCGTCGGGCGCGAGGCGGCACACCGACTGGATGCCCGTCTTGTACAGCTCGAGGCCGTGCGGCGAGTCAGCAAACTGCTGCATGATGCGCCCGTTGTCGCGGCAGATCGTGCAGAGTTCGCCGCTGTTACGAGACGCAGAGGCAGCAGCGACAGCGGGACGTTGCTCAATGTGGTGCACATCGAGGGGCTTGGGCAAGGCGTGGTCGTGGCGCTTCTTATGGCCCTTCTTGGAGCGCTTGGCAGCGCAGAGCTTGATCTTCTTGCAGATGCGCTTGGGCGAGAAACCTTCCTTGATCCACTCGACAATATCGTCAAAGCGGTCCTCAATCACCTTGCACTTGGTCGCTTCGGGAAGGTATTGGCACAAGATTTTGAGGCCTTGCTGGATGAGCTGGACCTCGAGCTCTTGCTTCTTGAGCGTGTCTTCAATCAACTCGGTCGTGCGCTGGCAAAGCTCGCACGAGTCGATTGCAACGCCATTGAAAGTGTTGGCGGTCGCTTGCGTCCAGAACGGGCGCCACGCGCACACCATCGCCGGGTCCTTCAAGCCATGGTCAATCATGGCCTGCACCTCGGGCGAGCTCTGCACGGCCAAGCACGCCTCCACCTGGTCTTCGGTAAAGAAGCCAAAGCGGCCACGGCAAGGCGTCAGCGACAGCGATTCGAGCACGTTCGCCAGCACCGAGTCGTCGTTGCTGGCCTCGCCGACCATGCTAGCCACGGCCGTCTTGCATGGGTCTTCAGCCTCGCCGGCGAGGAGGGTCTCGACGCGGACGAAGGTCTTGTCGACGACCTTGTCGATCCAGTCGCCTTGGGCGGTCCGCGGGATGAGCCCCGCGAGAAGCGCGACCGAGATGAGCTTCATTGATGGCCCCTCTCTCGTCTTTCGAAAATGTTCTTCCGCCCGAAAAAAGATCGGGGGCAAGTTTGCGCGTTAAGTTCCGATCTCGCATACAACAACGCCATTGTCTCGATCAAGTGCGCTTTTTGGCTCGTCAAGGGCAATGACAATACAAATTGACCCGAAGAAAAGCGTACTTGAATGGGTACCGTCGTTAAGAGAGAGCAGCACGCAGTTGCTTGAACTTGTGCACACCAAAAGATCGCAATCAGGCCCGTGGATCCCACACGCTTGCACCTGGGTACACCGTGAGCTATTCGTCTTTGGTACTAGTAGTAGACGCGTTGGGAAGCCTCTGGACGAGCTCTCTTTGGCGCACGTCTTCTGCTCCAGAAATCGAGGCCAGAAAAGCTGCAGAGATCCATGGATGGGACTTGGCCACCGACTGCTCGTTGGCTAGGAGCCGGCAACGATGTAGAATGAATGTGGTCAAGCATTCATTCGAAAGATATACTGTTGCTTGGTCATCTCTGCCCTTGGCTGGCAGCATCTAACGGCGTTCATCGCCGCCCAGAGAGTCTGCAGTGAACATTTTATATCGAGAGCCATTTTAAGGCATTTCCCACGGTCTAGAGCAACGTTGGTCCATGGCCATCAACCAACGGGTAGCCCACGATGACGCACCGTGCGTCGAGTGTGCAAGTGGGGTCGCCACGCAGAGCACCTCGGTTTTCCATAACTTTGACCAAACGACGCTGCCAATACTAACAGTTCGTCTATCCGACGCTGCCAATACTATTGAGAAGTCAAAGGATCTTGCGACTCGAACATGTCGGAACCTCCACCTCGTGACGCGGTACATGGGTCTCAACTGGTGAAGTTCGAGGAAGAGAAAACTAGGGGTAGGGTATGTGGTATGGTTGCTCGCATAGCAATACTTGCCCACCACTTGTACACTTCGTTCACTCCAACCAGCGCCATCAGCTTAGCGTCGAGCTGGAGGCGCGAAATGTCTATCTTCCTTCACCCGAGAAGTCTTTCCTCGAAGCCACGATAGCCCACATCGACCTCCGAGGTGCGATCCCATGCGAATATCAACGACATTCATTTCCCCAGCACACCTTTGCTATTGCTCTTTGTGTTGCTCGCTATTCCTCAATGCCCCTGGGCTAGCTGGGGCTAGCTAGCTCTCTTGGCTTGAAAAACAACGTGTACCGATTGGATAAAATCCAAGCATATATTCTTCCAATCCCCATCGCGGGATCTTTCAGTGCAATCTGGGACCGATGGTGCCCGCGTCGTCCTTTGTCCTCAAGGAAAAGATCGCCGACGTCTTCTTGGACCGCGCCCATGAGCTTGAGATCGTCGTCTACCATCCGGTGCTTATGCTCCGAACCTCCGAACCTCATGCGCTTCCTGCAGGCGCGTGAGTCCCTCATCCTCGTCGCGACCGCGTCGCTGTACGAGGTCGACCTGCGCACGGGCTGCGTCCTCGGCGCCATTCCGTTCGACAGCTGCCTTCTCAACGAGAAGCCCAACGTCTTCGACGACGTCGTGCCCGCTGGCCAGCACCATGTCATTGCCACGCTCTCTCGGTACACACCTCTGTGCCGGACGCTGCTAACGGCTACGCGCAGCTACCTCGTGGTCTGGGACCTCCGCGAGATGACGCTGTGCTGCATCACCGAGGTGCTCAAGTCGTCGTTGAAAAGCCCGATCGTTGTGACGGCCGCGACGACGGTGCCCGCCACCGTCTTCTTTGGCCACGAAGGCAGCCAAAGCATCAAGGTGCCAGCATCGACCTCCATATACCTTGGTACGGATAGGTCGTATAGGTGACGACCGTCGAGGGACTTTGCAGTGGCGAAGCCTGCCAAAAGATCCCGCGGAAAGTCGTGTCGCGTAACAGCGTTCTCTGCGCGCTGGCCTACGACGCGCGCCACAACCTTCTCGCGTCAGGTGGCACCGACGGTACTCGATGCCACGCGCGATAGATCCATATCGTCACGCGCAAGTAGGTATCGTGCACGTATGGCGCGCCGGCAACTCGGTCCACGGCGCAACGGACGACGAGTGCTCCAAGGACGAGCACACCAAGGGGAACGGCGACGACGTGTGTACCGACAGACATGTCGATTGCACTTATCTTCGCGCGTAGATTAGCCCACACGCTCTGCTTGCAACGTTCTCGGCCAAATCGTCGCCTGTGCAGGCGCTGGCGTTTAATGGCCAAGGGCTCTTGGCGGCGGCTTATCTCGCCGGCCACCTCGATATCTTTGACGTGCTGCGGCGCGAGCCCGGCGCAGTCGCCTCCCCGTACCGACTGCCTTTTTTTTCATCGTCTACAATCCAACGGGTGTGTAGAACCACGGCCGTGCCGACCGGCCTGTCGCTCTACGGCCGCCACAGCATTCATTTCAGCGCGAGCTTGAACACGCTGGTCCTTCTGCTGCTTGGCGCGTCGCAGGACCTTTTGCTCCATCGCATGCACTTTGGCGACAGCATCGACTCGTCGTTTGGCGGGGCGTACGATATCAACGCGCACGTTGCCGCCGTCGTGCCGTGCGACAGCCTCCTGGCGCTCTACACGTCGTCGCCGACGGCGCGGTCGCTGGCGCTGCTCGAAGGCGCCGACGACGACATTGCACTTTCCAACATCGTCTTGCCGCCGACGCGCACGTGGTCGATGCAGCCGCAGTTTTCGTTTCTTCAGTACTGCAGTCCCGACGACGTGCCCCGACGCCTTCTCCACATCACGACGGTACCATAGATTTACTTGCATTATGGAAAACACACGAGTAATGCATGGTAGGGCGACGATCTCAAGTTTGGCTTGAGCGCACTGGACCTCCAAACGAACGAGAAGACGGAGATTTGCCCGCTGCTCGCAACCTTTGAGGGGCTTCCACTGCAGCCGCTGCGGCTTGCCATGTCCCGCGACGGCAGCACGGCCGCCGTGTTTCTCTCGTCGTCGCAAGCCACCGTCATGACGCTCATCGATGTCAACGCGCCGACGGCTGCACCGACGTACGAGGTTCGCGACGTGTGCTTTACACCGACACACTTGGTGTCGCTCATGCCGTCCGGGCGAAGCGTCCGCGTCCACGGCAACTGGAAGGCCAAGGAGCCCGATGGCTTGCTGCTCAACCTTCCGACGACCGCTGCGCGCGTCTTTCCCACGCGATGGGCCCTGCCCAACTCGTACCTATGCCGCCACGACGCTTGCACACCTTACATGTTTACTACGATGCTAGGGAGGCCTGCAAAGTGCTCTTTGTTGTCCAAGATGCACTCGGTCGCGAGTGCTTGCGTCTGAGGTTTTGTATCTATCTTGCAATGTATCAAGTCTAGGATCCTCCTTTTGTGGATAGTGAGCACACGGTGGCGTTCACGCTCGACTCGTCTAGCGTTTGGAGTGCGGAGCAGCACGAACCCATTCTCGAAGTCCAGAACGAGCCCGAGAAAGCGTCGCACTTGGTACCAATATATACCACCACCATGGACATTGCATACAACGGTTGTAGATTGCCGTGCGGACGTCCAAGCGTCTCGTCGTCCTCGATAAGTCGCTGCAAGTGGTTGCGACCTTTGCACCGCGCCGCACGCAACTGCAAGAGACGCCCACGAGCATGCTCTGGGTCGGCGATGCGCTCGCGTTCGCAACGATCGGCGCCACCTTGCGCTACTGGCATCCCGCATCGCCCAGTGCGACGCACGCGCTGTGCAGCGTGCCTGTGACGCCTCCTGGATCACAACTGCGTCTCACGGCCTTCTTACCGGACCGCGTACTGTACATGGTTCTCCAGGACGATGCGAAAGCGGCCACCGTACATCCTAAGCCCTTGGCTATGATGCACAGATGATGACCGTAGATGTACACGCGCCCGTTTGCCCCGCTCGAGGTGCTCGTGTGCACCCACTGTGACAAGGAGAACGTGCAGCGGTACATTGCGCGCCTCCTCGAGTACGGTCCGCCCTTAGTCCAAGTGAGCTGGAAGACGCTGTCGCATTTAAACAACCCGGCGCTGAGCTTGCGTCTCCTGAACGACGGCAAGAAGGCGAAAGCGGGCGCCATGTACCGCGAGACGTCCCACATTGCCGCCAATACGCTTGCAGCCATCTTCTTGGCCGCCCACCGCTGGCGCGACGCGGCGACCTTTCTCGTCTCGGACGATCCCGCACTCTACGTACGCATTCCACAAAGCAACCTGTGGAGGCATTGCCTTGGTCGACGTAGGAATATGCGCTCAACCCGCAGGGGGCCGAGGCGCAGCTGCCGCCGAAGCTCTCGCACGTTGCGGCAGCGCTGACGCGCATGGCAGCGACACTGCAGTCGATGGGGCAGTTGCAGCTCGCAGCCCAGTGCCTCGACGTGGCCGGCAACGACGCGGCGCTGCTGAGCCTCGTACGTTCCACCTCGTTGGATGAAAATACCAAAAAGTATGTGAGTTGTAGGGGCTCAAGTGCGGGACGGGAGATGTCGTCGAGACGATTCTGCACGGTCTCAAGACGGCGCACCCGACAGTGGTCGCCGCCGTCACCGCGTCGGATGCCAAGAAGATACCCAAGCACGTCAAGATGGACGTGTTTCGCCTTCTGTGCACTGAGCGCTTGGTGCTGGAGCGCCGGAGTCGGCTCGTCGCGTCGCTGAGTGGTCTGCGCCACGTGCGGCTGCCACCCAGCAAGACGCCGTTGCTGGCGGCGCCCGACGGATGGAAATATTTCACGTGGAAGCGCCTCGAGCCCGAGGACGTAGTCGACTGGGTCGGGTCGTCCACACCGCACTTTTCGACCCAAGAGTTTGTAAAGAAGTCGCTGCAGATCGACGTAAGCGATAGCTTTGGCGAGATGCGGTCGACGCCAATGGCAAGCGCGCCGTCGTTCGGCCCGTTCTTGGACGACGAGGACAGCGTGATGGCGTACTGGCGCTTTGAGGACGCGGCGACACTCAGCCCAAGTCGCACGACGGACGCCACGCTGCTCGACACGTCAAAGCGCGAAAACCACTTGATTGTAGCACCTGCGATTGTCTTGGACGTCTCGACCGCGCCCGTCGACAAGGGCGAAGAGAGCAAGCTGCTCCCGGTATCCCATCAACCTCCTTTGCCGAATGCGCTGCACGTGGATGGATGTAGGCGTACATGCTGCACTTTCCAGCCATTGCGCCTCTCGATGGCAGCGACTGGCACGCGTCCTGCGCGACGCGCAAGGGTGGAAGCATGGACTTTGGCACCAGCTTTGACGAAGACCCGTACCGGCGCCACCTCACGTTCGAGTGCTGGGTGCGCTATCACGCCGAGGGTCCGTTGGCGGGCAGTAGCAGCAACTTGGCTGTGCTCGCGGCGCGAAGCCCTCTCTGGGCGATAAGTGCGGAGAGCAGCGGGCGCCTCTGCGTGCAGGTCCACGATCGCAGCCTTCCGACGGACGGTTCGCTGCAGCTCAACGGCAGCTGGCAGCACGTGGCACTGGTGCTCGATATCGTCAGCGATGACAAGGCGTCCGTGCGCGTGCTGCTCGATGGCGCCAGCGTCTTGGCCAAGGAGATTGCAGTCAAAATGACGGAGAGTAGCAGCGCAGCGCTGCAGGTCGGACCGCGCCTCTTGGGCTTTGACATGACCGAGATCCGGCTGTGGGCGACGTCGCGCTCGGTGGAGCAGATCAACGACATGAAAGAGAATTACCTCGGCATCGCCGAGACGAAGAAGCGCATCAAGGTCGCGATCCACCAGGTGCGACGAGATCGCGTGAGGATACGAGGCAGAACACTCTCTTGTAGCGTGACTGCCAGTGCGAGAAGTGTATTGGCCGCCGCCAGAACACGCCATTGGCCAAGCTCGCGATGGTCCAGCCTCTCGCAGCGAGCCCCGTCAGCCGGGCGCGGCGCGTCATCAAGACGCCGCAGTCGCCGGTCGCGTCGCCCAAGCGCGAAGAGACGCGACTCAACTAGGATCTCAGCGGCATCGCTTGGACGCAATACATGTTGGCTTGCATTAATCATCGTCGGGGACCTCGGGATTAGGCGCATCGAGCGCCGATGACTCGTAATTGCTGTAGAGACCGTACTGGTACACGAGGTGGGGGATGCTCGGTCGAAACCGGCGGAGGCGGCAACCCAAGAGGCGCTGGATCATGGCTTCATTCTCCGCTACATGTCCATCACCCATCGCCGTTGCTCTAAATGTCGTTTGAAATGGCGTACCGATGGTCGTGAGAAGGATCTTGCCGCCTGGCGCGAGGAGATGCGTCGCTGTCTCGGCGTACTTGGTCCACACGTGCTCGGTGATGAAGGGCGGGTCGATCACGACCATGTCAAAATGGCCTTGGAGGCCATCCTTGGTGAACGTCGTCGGCGCGTTATAGTCATAATGGAGCACGCGCGGAAGGGCGTCGTCGTAGTCAAAGAGCGCGAGCTCGCTCGCCGGGCGCAGCTCCTCGACGGCGTAGTAGAGCGACGGCGTCGAGAGGAAGGCGACGGCCGCCGGGCGCTGCGCCACAATGTCGGCCGCGAGGACCTAAGACGCCCCATGAGCCATCTGCAGGACGGTCGTCATGGACCTCGATCGTCGCTGGCGAGTACCAGTACTGGTTGAGCGCCTCCTTCTCCTTGTACGAGCGGACGAACTTGCTGCTCATGGCAAATCTTTGGAAATGGCCAATCCGCCAGCCCCGCGACACAAGGCAGCGACATGATTGGCTGAAATACAACCAGCATCCCAACGTCTTTGCTCAAAGAGGCTACAATTGTACAAGCACACAGGCTTTTCGCGCTAGCCCAATTGGTCGATGCTCGGTGGGCTGCAGCACGAGACATAATTCAATATTGGAAGATGGACCCTTGGCTGCAACCACTACTAGTAGTAGATTGAAGTCGTTCCAAGTACCGCACCCATGCAGCAGTCAGTATCAAGTCAAGATAAGGACGATGTCCTTGGCCCTGAAATACTGGCGAAGCACCAGACGCGTCGATGCGACGCTGCTTGGTATTACAGCCCACCAGCATGGACTGTACTGTGTTGGCTTGCAGAGTTGCGAGCCAACTGTATCGAAGCGAAGGTGGTGCGAGTGGTCATTCTAAGCTTACTTCGCAAGAACGCATGCACGCCACTTGGAGACTAAAGAGTCTTCTCGTGTGGCCTGCGCAACGTAGACCACCACCACCAACACTCGTTGACCACGGCAGTCTGTACGACGCGCACGTACTCGAGCCTTCTGGACGAGTACGAGGTCGCAGCAGAAATGCAGTGTTCAAGAGACATTGGTCCATGCTCTCATTGATTATTAATCCCATGCGCAGTATCGTAGTACTAGGTTTATGCGATGAGGTGCGAGAGACCGAGACCAATCGTCGAGCCGAGGACGAGACCGAAGTTGAGGAAGAAGCCCGTGAAGCTGCCCGCGACCGCCTTCTCTTGCGGCTCGACGCAGTCGTTGACAAAAATGATTGCGAGCGACCCAATGTAGCCGTTCGTGAAGCCAAGGTACAAGACAAAGACGATCGAGAAGGCGTCGTGCGTGAAGTAGAGGCCCTTGACCGAGACGAGGATGCACGGGATCATGAGGAACCGGATCGCGACCATGCGCCAGATGTTGTCCTTGGTCAAGCCACAGCGGAACGAGATGAGGAAGCGGCCGATGCAGTCAAAGACCGAGAAGAGCGTCAGCAGCAAGAGCGGCCACCACCCGGACGCTTGGAGCTCGGGGAAGTTGTAGCTCTTGAGCTCCGTCACGAGCGGCGGCCAAAGCGCGAGCGAGCACGTAAAGACGAGTGCGACCTGGATCTGGTTGTAGATGCACTTGCGCAAGACGGCCCAGCGGTTCGGCGCCGGCGCCTCGACCGAGAGAAGCGTCTGGACACCCGACTCTGCAAGCAGCGGTGATTGCTCGACGAGCGACTTGGTCGTCAAGCAGCGCTTCGAGATGGGCAGCGTGAGCAGAGTAAAGTACGCAACGATGCAGAGCGCAACCGTGACAGCGCCCGTGTAAAAGTAGACGCCACTCGAGAGCACGATGGCGTCCGCAGGAAAGATGACCTTGGTCAGGTCCCGGTACACGCTGCCAATGAGCGTGCTAAGGCCAATGCCAAACTGGAGGCTTTCCTGGGCGTACATCGGGTAGTGGTTGGCGAGCGAGATGACGCAGCTGTCGAGGAAGGCCGTGACGATGGCGGCAAACGCGGTCGCGCCAAGGACGGCCCACATGTTGGCGTTCTCGGTCGTGAGGAAATGGTACGACGCCGGCACGAAGACGAGCACGATGAGCTGGCCCGCGAACCCGCCGACGACGCGGCCCGTGATCCACGGCGACGAGCCAAACGAGACGAGGAGACCGAGCATGAGCAGGTTGGTGTACATGAAGGTGCACGTGATGAGGAACTCGATGTTGAAGTCGGGGAAGAGATGGCTCCAGTAGTCGACGGGCTGCGTCAGCGCCGAGAACGGGAAGAGGTATCCGATGCCAATGAGTGAGAAGAGAACGTTCACAAGGAGCCGCTCGCGCTGGGCCGCCGTCGGCGTCGCAATGTGGATCTCGGTCATGGTGTCGTCGGCGCCAATTCAACAATGACAAGCTTGGGATCCCACGTGATGACCGTGAATGCGACATGCCCCGCGATGATGCAACACTTTTTTTATACAGAGCATCAAAAGCGTATACAAACCCTAGGTTGGTTTGGTGGCAAATGGAAATAAATTTGATCGACCACCGCGCCCCGGTGTACGTAAACGAGCTGAGCCGCAAATTCGCATGCGATGGCCGCCACCACCAGCTGCGACCACCTGGCAGCGTCGATCCGAGGCGTGCATGATACCTCGACTGGACGGAGCATGCGAACGACTATTAGTCCGATGAAAGAAGCGGTGAAGCGTTGCGTTCTCGCCGGATACGGGTGCGAGATCGTTGGAATACAAACGGTAAGCGAGGAAGAAGTGATGCCACGAGCGCCATGCAACCTTCGCTGGCTACTCGGTGGCATACGTATACCCCACCGTACGAGCGATGCAACTTGAAGCACCGCCGCGCGCACATGTTCAGGCTCAATCGTCGGTGCACATCCACGGCGTTCTTCGAGACGCCTCGGAGCCACTCAAGCGGCCATGGCATCCGCAAACATGCAGATTTCGCGCCCAGTCCGTTGAAGCCAGGTGTCAAGACACCGGACGCCCCGCTGCGTGGCTGTGTGCTCGTGTCGCCACTGGCAGCCATTCATCGCGTCGTCACGCACAACGCACCGCCAAGTATGTGCAAGCGCAAGCACAACGAAGCGGCGTTCCTGTGTTAAGCTTTGGACCGTGGCAGAGGTCGCGGCCGAGCATTGCGGACGAGGTTGGGGCGCAGAGGCCATCTGTAAGACCACTTCAACTAGAGTATCCATGGCCCTTCTGGATACCGCACGTGGATTGGTCAAAACCAGGTGGCATTTCACCCAATCAGTTGCGAGGAAAGATCGCATTTTCGCAGGCATGGCGACCCGACGCGACCTCGACGAGATGGAGGCCGACGCGCTGCCGTCGGCGTTAGCCGCAATGGCCGAGTGCGCCAAGTACACGAGCGGTCTCGCTGCGTTCTACGAAGCCTCGTTCGACGGCGCCAAGGCCGTCCACTCAAGCCAGACGAAGGAGGGCGTCGCCAGCCTCCAGGAAGCGCTGGCGCTTGTCACATCCAACCTCACCAACCTGTCGTCCACGCTCACAGCCTACATGGATTGTCAGGTTGGTCACCAATACGGGTATGCTGTGTTCGCTCATCATTACCGTCGTACTACGCAGTGCGACGAGCTCGACCGTGTCCACGTCAAGGTCGACGTGCTCAAGCTTGTGAGATGCGCCGCCTATTCCGCCATCGGACCCACGGACGCTTGTAGAGGCTTGCTGAAGCCAAGGCAGCGACACAGCGTCCTGTGATCGAGGCCATGAAGGGCCCGTGCCGAACCGAGACGCGAGCAACATCATCCTCCTCGCGTCAACAAGTGGCAGACGGTGCCGTTGATCGGACCCCAGAGACGCGGCTGCCATACCAGTATGGGTCGATTCAAGCAGGACTAAAAGCCATCAAGGTCGCAGCCCAAGCACAACCCAACGCAGGTACACTCTTGCTGCAACAACGATGCGATCGCTTGCACATGGCAGAACGCAACCAGCCCAAGCAACCCGCGCTTCCATCCCAAGCCAATGACGCGGAACACATATCAAGCGACGCAACGATGGATCCCGCCATAGACACCGATGTGCTCAAGAGTGTATCCTCGTCTGCGCTCCGCCTCTCGGCAGTTCATGAGGCACCGATCGGATTGGAAGGAACGGCGTTGCACTCGTAACATAGAATGCATGGTTCTAATGTTGTTCTTAAGCTTGTTCATGGGCCTTGGTGGACAGTATAGTCGTGGAAGTCTGGCAGCTGCTCGGCACAGACGCATCATCGCTGCATACGTGGATCGCTGCCGGGCGAGAGCGCGTATAGCAGCATGCGCAGGCCGACTTGGTCGCGCGTTGTCCGTCGGGGTGGCGGCAGTAGTAGCACGTCAGGAGGCGGTAGATAGCCACAAACGGACAGGTGACGATGACGGCAATGAGCGCGCCCACGGAGATGAGCAGCAGCTGGGCGTAGCTCGCGATCGGGACGCGGGCGGTCGGCGGCGGTGGCATGGCACCCGTCAGCGTTTCAACGCATCCGGATACGCACCAGCACCATTTCACACGCGATTTTCACATGTATGTGGCACCCTTCTTTTTCACGTGTGTATTCCTCATGTATCTTTCACATTTTTCACATGTGAATTTCACGCGATCCGGTGTGCGAATGTGTGGGTTTCACGCGTGGGAAACATGGTTTCCCACGACCTTCGATAAAGTTGTTCTTGCTCCAAGACAATGACGGCGACGCCGCTGCTGCCGCCAGTCCTCACGCGGCTCATGCGCTTCACGGAAGGCGACTTGGTCAAGACACCGTTCGGCGATGGCACCTTCCAGCGCAAGCTCACGTAGGCTACGGCATGCGGCCACCCGCGTCTCCATACCTTGTGGCAATAGACATGCGCCAGGCCGCCACGTCTACGTCGTTGCGCTTAAGCGCGGTGGCCTCTTATACGCGCAGGTACGAGGCTCGATGAGACGTCGAATGGTTATATGCTGTCGTCTAGACGTGCTGGATGATGCCACGCCTGCCGACGCTGTCGGGCAACGAGATGCCGCATGGCGTCCACATCGAGACGCGCTCGTCAGGCGCCCGCGGAAGCATTCTGCAGTACCGGTACCATACGCATGCATAGCTGTCATTCGCTTATATCGGCTATGTAGCGTCGCTGATAAGAGCTACGACGTGGCCTTGGAGGACGGAACGACTGCGACCTTTGCCGTAGCTCGCTCGGAGGATCGCGCGGCCTCACCACTGTGGCGATCCATAGGCAGCGGACCTGCGCTTGGCGTGCCGAACGCGGTGCCAGACGCAGTTTGGCCTTGGCACGGTCGTTGCTTACCGGTAGCGTTCTTGCTTGTGCGATTGTATACCTCATGGGACATTGGTAGCGCGGCCAGCGACAGCTATGTTGTTCAGCTCGACTCGAACGCGACCGCCTACATTCAAGTCGCCTTCGTCTGCTCCCCTCGACTCGCATCATCAGATTCCGGATGCGTAGGCAGCCGATGTGGCAGCCCTCGACTTGCGCTTGCTCGAGAAGATTCCCAAGCCCTTTAGCGCCGCGCAGGTCCTCGCCGAGTTCAACGGTCGTGTCTCGATGGAGCAGGCCGAGGCGATCAGCGCCGCGGGAGAGAACGCGTACTTGACGCTGCGCGCGTACTGCGAGAAGAACGCGGGCGCGCTCACGTCGATTTCGACCACGTTTACGTACGGCCGCGAGTACTCGGAGGCGTTGGCGTCGTGTGTGAACCCCGAGATCCAAGACGCTGCCGGGCGCGTCCGAGCGGCGGGCGAGCGCGAGCTCGAGAAACTCACCAAGCTCTCGGAGCTCGTCAAGCACCGCATCGAAGGCCAGATGACGAGCAACGCCGAGCTGGCCGCCGTACGACGTCCTTGCTTCCATTGAATCTGACCGTGCTGGTAGCTCACGGACCACTCCAAGAAGATTCTGCAAGGCATTGGCAACAGCATCGAGATGCGCCGCGTCGCCGAAGAGCTCAACAAGCAGCTCCAAGCCAGCGCCTCGGTGATTTTTTTCATCGTTTTCCATGCGAATCTGAGCGGCTCTAGAGCGACGACGGCCGTGCGCTCATTGAACATTTCAAGGGACTGCTCCAGACGCGCGTCGAACAGCAGCGGCGGCGCCTCGAGCTCCTCGAGCCCAACACGCTTCTGGACAATCTCGAAGGCACGCTGTCGCCGCGCGGTCTTCAAGTACATGTCGTCGACATTGCCTCGGACGTATTCCCTCATGCATGCTAGACGCGAGCGACGGCCTTTGTCCAGCGCGTCTCGGGGGACATGGCGACGCTGGACCCGCTCGAGTTGCTCGCGCAAGTCGAAGAGCTTTTGCCCAACGTGTCAAAAAAAGCGGCGGGTCTCTTGGAAGACGGCGAAGACCTCTTGGCGCGGCTTCAAAAAAGCAAGCAGGGCCAGAAGCTGCTCGAAAAGGCCAAGGAGCTCGCCCATGTCTCGGACGACCCTGATGCGATCCGCGACAAGGTCACGCAGGCCGTTGCCAACGTGCGCGTGGATGTAATATACGACGCCATCCATATATCGTCGTGTGGATCATTGGCCTCCACATGTGGATGCTAGGACCTCGCCAAGTGGGGGCGCAACCTCGCGGTGGATCGGGCCGCGCGGCAAGCGTTCGTCGACCAGGTCAAGGACCACTGCTTGGATTTCCTCATGTCGGTGCTACCAACGATCGAAGTGCCGCCCATCGTGTACGTTTGCGGTTTCTGCAATATTGTCTGATGTGCTCTGCAGCGGCACGAAAGACGAGATCGACTACTCGATCTCGGTCCTCGACCTCTCCAACTTTCACGTGCCGAAGGAGAAGGTCGTTGTCAAGCTCGGCACGGCCTCCGACGACGAAGTACGCGGAACGCCATGCAATAAACGATGTCAACGGCGCAATGCGTAGGTGCTGAAAATGCGCGCGTCTCGCATCTCGTCACTGATTCCTGGCCTCCAATGGACCTTTGCGCAAAAGTACTTTCCGTATCTCAACGGTGGCGGCGTGGCCGACGCGTCCGTCAACGGCGGGTGCATTTCGCTTGGCTTTCGCGTACGCTGTTTTGAGTTTCAGAATCGCCAAACGATGCACGCACGATGTGTAGGCGGAGAAGGTGCTCTCGATAGAGACGGGCGAGTACGAACCGACGTTGGCCGTCTCGTCGATTGAGATTGAGATCAAGGAAGAGCTCAAACTCACGGTGCAAGGCAGCTGGTTCTCAGCCGTCTACAACGTGCTCGCGTCGCTCTTCAAGGAGCTCATTCGCGATTACATTGCGTCAACGCTCGAAGCGAGCCTTATCGAGCACGTCGTGACGCTCGTGAGTGCCCTCAACAAGCACATCAAAAGCTACTGGCCGCTTTTGCTCCAAGTGCTGCACGTGACCGTCGACGAACTGCCATTGGCGAGTGCGTGGCGCGGGGCCAAGCCGCTGCCACCGCCACTGCCGCACGAAGACGACATTGCGTTCAACATGACCAACGTCCCGCTGGTCCTCACCAAGCGTACGAGCGCAATGCAATGTATCGACGGCTCCAACGGCGTGCGTAGGTATACGGACCCGCATGGCCACGGTCACCAGCGTCACCGTCCCGCCGACCGCGTCGACGACCGACCGCGACGCGCTGCTGAGCGTGCCGCTGCACTCGACGCTCGTTGGTATCAACGGCCTCTCGTGCGCCAAACTCACGGCGAGCGAAGTTCGGACGCTCCTGACGACGCTGCCGGCGCCGATGCTTTTGCGGTTCGCATCCCCCTCGCCCGACGACGCCTTTGCCCAAGTGGCGCCACGCCGCAAGCTCCGGACGTACGATGTCGAGTTTGGCCCAGGATCGTTTGGCCTCAAGCTGCGCGCACGGCCGCTGGTACTGGTGCATATATCGCCCGTGTATACGTCTCATGTCGTTGGACGTAGGCGCCGCTCGGTGTGATCGTTGCGGGTTTTATTCCGGATCGCACGAAAGACGAGACAAAGGCCATGGGTGCAGGCGAGCTCAGCGGCCAGATTCGCCCGGGCAACCTGCTGCTCAAAGCCAACGGCTGGGACTGCCGCGACAAGGAGTTCAGCGAGGTTGCCATTCCCTTGTTTGTACCCAAGAACGCAGACAGAACGGTGTAGGTCATGGAGCATCTCAAGACGCTGCCGCGGCCTGTGACGCTGCTTTTTCGACAAGTCCCGACGGCATTGTGACGCTCACCGAGTGGCCGCCGCTCGTCGAGCTCGACAGTCGCGGGGACCACGTGATCGTGTCGGGGTTCACAAGACTGCCGTCCATGGCACGCAACTCCAAGCAAGTGGCGGAAGGCGACACGCTGGTCTCGATCAACGGACGGGCGGTCGCCAAGCTCCCGTACGACCGTATCATGACGCTCTTGAAGGAAGCGATGGACGCGCCGCCCTTTGACGTGGCGTTTGGACGGAAAGCCGACAAGAAGGTGACGAGCGTGCAGTTTGCCCACGGGCCCATGGGCATCCTCTTTGGCTCGGACCGGGTACGTCCACTCGACACTCTTGCCTGTCTGCGACGCGATGATATGCTGGGTGATGTTAATAGGACGGCAGTGTGTTTGTGAAGAAGTTTATTCCAGGGTTCGGGCCTGCCGAACGCAGTGGGCTCGTGCACAAGGGGTTTGTGCTGCTCCAAGTGGGCGGCAAGACCGTGCTCGACCTCGACCACGCGCAGTCGCTCTTGGCGAGTGCGGCGCCGCCCTACTCACTCACCGTCCGCGACCTCGACATGGAAGCCAACATTGCGCAATTGAACTAAGTCGATATGAATACGAATGCGATATAATGTGCGGGTTTGAATCGACGCTGTCGAGGTTTAGGGTAGTCCGGTTCGCTAATAGCATCTGCGGGTGTGGCATCCGCCTTGCCCGCAATGTTACTGCAGCAACAAACCATCTGCGTAATAGTACTATGCGGTGGCGGTATCCATCGCTGTGATCCACAACGAACAAGAGTCCTCGTTGTCTCGGCATCGGTCGACCTCGCTACAGTGTACGAGTCGTTGGTGGCGAGATCAAAATGACACTGCGTGCAAACATAGACAGCCATCTCGCGCGCTAGAATCCAAGGACACGGTACTTGCCGGTGGGTCGCCCTATGTCGAGTTTCTGTAGAGCGTGCGACGCAGCCAGCGACGACGACGATGACGCCAACCGCAATATGGGATCATTACACCACCGATGGCTTCTCAGCTCAGGCCGCGCTTATATAACGCACGCCTTGCCAGACAACCGTGCCAAAGCACCCTCGGATGTACTATAGCACAACAGCGCCATCTCTCGTGGACGAGAACTGGTGGCGTAGCATACTAGAATATAGATCGAGGGATACAGGTACAGTAGTAGACTGTAGGCACGCGCGATAATGAGATCTCCGTGATCTAAACGCTGCGCTGTATGGGGACGGCCTACACTAATCGCACCTATACACTAGCCCGAGCAGCTTACCAGGAACCCATGCACTAGCAATTACATCCACGCACGCTAAGTCATAATGGCTGCTTGGCGCCAAATCGGCGAATCCACGTGGTGCATCTTGGTCGTGACATCGCATACTGAGCTCCATACAAAATCGTACACGCCATGCTATGGACGCTGCCATTCGACCCCTGGAGGATCTATTGCGCCGATCTGTTCTCGATCCTACGATTGGCTACTGCCTGCCATCTACTCGTCGTTGATTGGCTCCGATTGCTGTCCCACGACCTGATTCGTCGACGACCAAACGTACGGCCTCCAGGACGTCCTGTATACCACATGGCGCTGTCGACATCTCAATTCAGCAATCACTTGGTTTTTGTATGTGGAGTCGTTTCCTGGTCGTGAATTCGAACGTCTGCGACATGCCTCTCGTCGGGGGATCGAGTCGATTTGTGCGTCGGGATAAAAATACCTTGTTGTTTCTATACGGCAAGGCGACCTCGACCCGAATTAAATGGCGCGGAAGTGCTGCAATTTCCGCTGTGCCAGCTTGGCAGAGACGCCACGTATACTATTCATAGAACGTAGATGCTCATTCTGCGACTTGCCTTGTGCCCATGAAGCTCTCGATCGCCACGGCTAGCCTCCTCGCGTCGGCCGCCCTCGCCGCCGAGTTCCGCTTCACCAACAAGTGCGACTACACGATCAACCTCCACGCCGGCGGCAGCGTCTTTGTGTGCGATATCCCGTCGGGCGAAACGCGCAACAACAACTGCGGCGCGACCTTGGGCTCGCACGGCCTGTTCAAGCACACGGCGGCCAACGACGTCAATTGTACGTCATTGAATGTGGTTGGATACGTGGCTCATGAGTTGGTGTAGTGCTCGAGTACTCGCTGACCAACACGCCTGGCTTCAACAACGTGTGGTACGACGTCAGCAACATCCCGCCGGGCCCTGGCAACTGCATGAGCTACGCTGACTGCAAGGCCTTCACGGGCAAGAAGGGCTACAACGTGCCCATGAGCATCCGCCCGACGGTCCACAACAACGGCAAAAACTGCCGCGACCTCGTCGTCACATCGCCCGACTCGCCTGTCGCTTACCTCTTCCCGTCCGACGACGGCAAGATGGCCGACTGCAAGATCGACGAAGTCTTTGATGTGACGTTCTGTCCCGGCGGTAACCCTGGCCCGGCGCCGTCGCCCAGCGTGCAGCCCACGTCTGCCCCCACGCAGGCCCCCACGCAAGCTCCCACGCAAGCTCCCACGCAGGCTCCCACGCAGGCGCCTACCCAGGCTCCCACCCAGGCTCCTACCCAAGCTCCTACGCAAGCACCGTCGCCGAGCTCGAATGCACCGACGTATGCTCCGTCGCCCAGCTCTGCCGCGCCCACCGGAGCGCCTGACGCACCGACGGCGTCTCCCGATGCACCGCCAACAACCCGGACGTGCAGCCCGACGTGATTCCGGACGGCCAGGTGGGGCCGTGGCAGCAGTGCGGCGGCAAGGGCTACTCTGGCTCGTCGACGTGCACGGACGGCTACGCGTGCCAAGGCGTGAACGAGTGGTTCTCGCTCTGCCACCCGCTGCCGCCCAAGGAAGGCGAGCTTGCGACGTGGGCCCAGTGCGGCGGGAAGGGTTACACTGGCATCACCAAGTGCCAAGCGCGCGACGAGTGCTGGACCAAGGACGAGCACTTCTCCCAGTGCATCCCCGCGTCCAAGAAGTCGACGTAATTCACGCGCTTCGTCCAGAACACGCACTATAGACACCAAATTATAACACTATCAACCACTTTGCTCAAGTATTACCTTGGTGCACCGATCGCTCAGCTCGATCGCTCGTCGTCTCAGACATCTATCACCTCCACGTCGCAGTGGAAGAGAAGAGCCACACCCCGGCGACGGCTCGGCGTAAGCACCTTGCAGCAGACGATCTCCTGGCCCACTCAAGAAGGAGCTCCCTTTCCGCTCCATCTTTACTCTCACAACGGCGGCAGCTAGCATCAGAGTGGCGGCCAAAGATCGGAAGCATCATGGCGCGCACTCATCATCTGAGTTGCCGAGATTTGCGACCGTGTGAGTAGCACCCCCGACCTCCTACACTGTAGCACAAACGAGCGTGGACAATCTTGCGGCGTTGATATGCACGAGGCAGCGAGTGCGCCGTTGCGGCGAGACCGAGCCAAATACATTCCGTTGCTGGTCCAGCTCAGTCCGTGCTGTACAATTATCTGCTCGCGTTCGAGCCGCCATGTCGCCTTGAGCAGGCTCATGAGCTCCTCCGTGTCCATGGCTAGTACACTGTACGAAGCTAGAATCCCCATCGCGTACAATCTCGGTGCACAAGTCGATCGGCGCCATGTCAACGAGTAGCAAAATGGCGCTGTCGTCATTCCTCTGACCAAATCGAAGCTCGACCGACGCTATCACAATCGAAGAACGGGGTCTCTGGACACACCACGTCCTGTCCTGATCCTCCTACTTTCCATTGACAACGGTAAAGGCTTGGATCGCGATGGCGGAGAGACGTACGTACACTTGGCCTGGCCGCCATCAGCCTGGCCGCCATCATCAGCGCTGACATCCATATCCACCTCGTTCGATATGGAAGGCCGCGGCGAGATCTGGACGACCGACTCCACGGGCCGTGGCACATCCGCACAGCGCAGGACACCCAATCGCGTTCGATGCACACGCGTTCCGCGTTCCAAGCTGCTATTTGCGCGTCCCAGGCAAGGCCCTTGCACCCAAGGCGGGCCAGTCGTCACGGGCGAAGAGTGGGACATTTGCGTTGGCGCCATCGCACCACGTGGCGTTCCTATCACTGCGGCCTTGCTCGCCACAACTCAAAATCGCTCGTCGCCACCACCATGCTGCGCCTCTCGACCCTCGCGCTCGCCGCCGCCGCCGTCTCGGGCTTTGAGATGACCTTCACCAACAAGTGCTCGTACACGATCAACTTGAAGGCAGCGTTCGGCCGCTTCGTCTGCGACATCGCGCCGGGCGCCGCCAACACGTGCACGCAGTACATTGGCGCCGGCCAGCAAGGCATCTTCAAGCACACGAGCGCTGACGATGTCAACCTCATCGAGTACTCGACCATCAACAGCAACGGCATGAACTTTGTGTGGTACGACGTGAGCAACATCCCGCCCATGCCCGGCAACTGCAACAGCTACGAGAACTGCAAGCAGGTCACGGGCAAGAAGGGCTTCAACGTGCCTGTGTACGTGACGCCCACGACGAACGCCGGCAGTGGCTCGTGCCGCGAGCTCCGCGTCACGGCGCCCGATTCCGCCGACGCCTACTTGTTCCCGGCCGACAACACCAAGACGCACGCGTGCCCGATGAACACCAAGTTTACGGTCACGTTCTGCCCCGAGGGCGGCAGCGGCGGCAACCCGAGCACGAGCTTCCAGAAGGTCGACAACACGGACTTCTACGGGAACGACATTGGCCGCTTCCAGGTCTGGGGCGATGCCAACGCCAAGGCCAGCGCGTGTGGCAGCGGCTGCAAGGCCAACGGTCAGTGCGTCGGCTTTGCGGTGAGCGGCGACTTTTGCTACTTGAAGAACGCGCTCGCCAACAAGTATTGGAGCAACGGCGTGATTGGCGGCATCATGAGCGGCAACGGCAAGTGCGCCGCGACGCAGTGGAACACGGACTTTTATGGTAATGACATTGAGCGCAAGCAGGTCTGGGGCAACGCCGGCGAGCGCTCGGGCCAGTGCTGCAACCATTGCAACGGCGTCGCCAACTGCGCCGGCTACACGGTCAACGGCGACTGGTGCTACCTCAAGTCGTCGGTCGGCTCGCCGTCGTGGAGCGGGAGTGCCTACTCGGGCCGCCGCGCGTCGGCGTAATTTAACCTAGAAACACCTGTGGACTGCATGTACGATTCTTCGCTGCGACACGCCGGGCGACTAGGGTTCGGGACGATCCAACTTGAAAGTCTTAATATATGTACACCTTGTGTATGCTACTCATCTATTCTTCTACTACGGCGGCTTCTACCCGACGGACATCTCCAACCTCCGCGGCCCAACGGGCCCTTCCTCTGCGATATTCCATCGGGCAAAACGCGCAGCGACGGCTGCGCCACCAAGGCCTGGAGCCGTCTCCAAGCGCTTCAAGCATACGACCAAGCCAAGCCAAGCGTACGCCGCTTTCGCATGCCAACGATCTTACTGGATGAGTTCTTAGTGTGCATACTCGGTCACGGACCGCGTACGACATGATCATCAGCACCATTCCGTCGGGGGTAGGGTTCCTCCAACCGCATCGGATCTTGGATGGACTCATGTGTGTGGCCGGACCACCCGCCGACTGCCCGTTGGACGAGGTTTCCACGTCATCTACGGACCTGGCAACGGAACCGAAGCCCCTGATGCTTGACGACAGAGGTATTAGAACAGGCCCGTTAGCACTGTCTACCGATGGCAGCCTGTCTACATGCATTATTGTACACGTCTTTTTTTGCAGTTGGCATCGAGTGTGGTGGTGCTTTGTGGTCGAGGTACCACTTACATGTATGCTCGATGCGTGAGAGACCAACCATCTCATCGTCTAGGATCGACTCGGTCTCGTGTGCTTAAAACAGCCTCGTCAAATGTCACTGCAATTCCTTGTCAAAACAATATTCTGCCATCTACGGTCCTTGGGCTCAGAAGCGCGAGACGTCGCGACCGACGACCATGGCCTTGAGCCAATCGAGAGGCACTTGCATGCGCAGGCGCCAGCTACCGAGCTTGGTGAGGTACGCGCTGCGCCAGACAAACCACGCTTTCCAGCCACCAAACTTGGCGATCGGACCCGTGCGGTCGCCGATCGTGACATCTTTGGCCTGGAAGAGACCTTCGTACGACCCGAGATACGCCATGAGCCCGAGACTCTCAAATCGATACGGCGTCGGGGCCTCGCCCTTGAGAAGCGCCGTCAAGTACTCGGCTTGGCCCTGCGCCTTCTGGGCTGTCGCCGGCAGCGGGTAGTCTCGAATCTCGGCGCAGTCGCCAATGGCAAAGACTGACGACGCCTCGGGGAGGCCTTGAAACGGACTCACGTGCGATGGCGACGACGGTAGCCCCAGCACCTAGACGGTGGGTAAGCCTTTGAATCCTACCGGGTCGTTCTCGCACCTGGCAGTGGTCGTTGGTGAGGATGTTGCCCCGCTTCGACTTCGCCCACGGCAGGGACTTTGTGAGCACGTTGGGCCCGACGCCGGCCGACCAGACGACGAGGCCACACGGAATGCGATCGCCCGAGTCGAGGATGACGGCGTCGGCCAGCACTTCCTTGCAGTTGGCCTTGATGATGCGCATGTTCTTGCGCTTGGCGATCTTGACCATCGCTTGGTCGCGGAGGCTCTCGCTGAACATGGAGAGGATGCTGCCGGCGTCAATGAGCGACACTTGGAGGAGGTTGGTGACCTACAATGCGATCGCATCTGGCATCTAGCATCGGCGTCGATGCGTACGTGGGGATAGAGCCGCGTGAGGTCCTGCACGACAAAGTCGTAGAGCTCTGCGCAAAATTCGACGCCCGTGGGGCCGCCGCCGACCACGATAAAGTGCAATAGCTGGCGCTGGACGTCCTCCGGCACGCCGGGCTGCGTCGCGAGCTCAAAGTTTTCCAAAATGCGCTTCCGAATCGCGCCTACAGACGTACTACCGTTTAGAGGCAATAAGGTGGACGAGGATCCCGCACGTGCGTGGTGGATTTCCTTGAGGAAGAAGGCGTGCTCGTCGACGCCGGGAAGTCCAAACGTCAGCGGGCGCGACCCGCACGCCACGACGAGCATGTCGTAGTCGACGTTGTACGTGCGATCGCAGAGCACGCTCGTGCACAACACCTTCTTCTCGACCGTGTCGATCTCGCGCACGCTCGCCAAGATAAAGTCCTTCTCATCACGGAACGCGTTCTCGCGCACAGGCTCGGTGATCGAGCGGAACTCGAGCGTCCTATTCCGCATACGACGTCCTACGAGGCCCATCGTCCGGATCGTTGTACGTACCCGACGGTTGTACTCGCGAGCAGCGGCGTGTATAAGAAATGCTACCAACGGCGCTTGAGATGATGACAGAGACATGCAGGTAGGCAGTGTACGTTGCGCTCCGAGACGACGACAAACTCGACGTCCTTCCCGACGGCGGCGGCGATCGCGGCGCGGTGGGCCTTGCCGTTCGTGAGGAGCTTGTAGCCAGCCCAGCCCGTGCCGACGATGACGACACGGAACTTGTCGGCGGCGGCGGCGGAGAAGGCGCGGCTATAAGTACGTAGAGGCGTCGTCGATCGGCGAAGCATGGTCACTTGAAGAGTGGCTGACATCCTGGTGGCGGTCAGGCCTGTTTGCGGCGCGGAGCGTGGTCGTCAACGAAATGCCGGAAGATCGCAACAGAATCTTTTATTGTATATCTTGATGTTTGTATGGACTGTCCCATGCCGAGGATGTGGAACCGAAGGCGCCCGTCGAAATTATTGCCGTCGGCAACGGTACTACGCTCTCGTTGTCGTTGCTTCTACTAATTCCGCTTCGAACTCCGGGCAGTCGCAGCGATCTTCGTCAAAACTTGCAGGACGAACGGGACGGCGAGCATCCGCGGTCGCGAGACACGTCACGGCGTTTCCTTCACCACCCTTCACGACCGGCTTAGCGACGCCATCATGCCGCCATCATCATGTAAAACTCTATCGACCAGCACACAATAATGCATCGGTATCTGCGACAACAGCGCTTATGCCTCGTGCGGTGGTCCCATCGACGATGATGCACATCGGTTAATCACCGCATCAAGCTCCATCGACGTTTTGAAGTGCGTCCGGACTAGATAGTTTTCACACTATGAGTCTCACCACCGGTATACCTCGTCAAGTGTCGAGTTTATTTCTAGTCAAGCGATGAAGCGATACTAGAGGAGGCATCATGGTGAGGCAACTCGTGGCGCGTTATCGTCTCCAGCTGGATTTCTTGACGGTATGGAATGCATGCCATAGTGAGAATCCATACAGTGGGAATGTATGTGCAGCCTTTTATTATTGGCTAAAAAGGCACCAATCCCAAGCCGTCTAGTAAGCCGTAGCATTTATTTCCTAGACGACTTCCGCTTATATGGGCGTATAGACGACATCCACCCACCATACCGCAAATTAGCATTTGTACCCGACAAAATGGCCACAGATCCAAGCGCTGGCAGCGTCCCGGCCTTGATGAACTACCTGCATCCCGGCTTCAATCTCGCATCGCTTCCGAACCCGAACCTCATGATGGGCGCGATGCAGAGCATTGCCGCGCGTCCGCCGCCCCGCGCACCGGACGAGCCCAAGCTCCAGGTGCTCAAGGAGGTGGCGGTCGCCAAGCACAGCCAGCGCAACGTGCTCTCGTTCCAGGTCAAAGCTGGAGCAGGCGTGCTCTACTCGATCATGCAGCCAACAACCATTGCGTACGAAGCGCCGGACGTGACATGGGTCAAGCTTCTCGAGGCCGTCGCCTTGATCCCATCCGGTCGGCCGCACGAGATCCTCCAGCTGCTCCATGAAGCGCACCGCCTCCTGCCGCTCGGCGACTTTCGCATCCTCTTTGCACGCGACTTTCGCGACGAGCTTGCGTCGGCCGCCAGTGTCTCATCGGCGCGCGATGGCATCGTCCTCAAGAACAAGGTCAACGTCTTCCTCCGCGCGTTCATGGCCGACCCCATCCATGGCTACACGCTGGCCAAGCAACACGTCCACGACGACCTCTACGTCGACGACCCCGTCTCGACGCCGGTCGGTCCCGGGCTCGTGCGTGGGTACCGCTCCAACGATGGCTTCTTCGTCGTCCTCTTCCCATTCGGGCATGCCTACATCCACGAAGGCAGCCTGCGCCGCGTCCCGTCGCGACTCCTGGTACTTTTCTCATCCCTATATCTCAATGCACCATCGCTGGCCCACTCATGCTGTACATATCACGGATAGAACGACTTGCTTGCGCAGCGGCGAGGCGACGCTGTCGTCCCGCGACCACTGGTACGTGGACGACCCACCTTTGCTCTGGCATTCGCACTCTTGCTTCTGCGACTAGAAACGGCGCAAAGAAGGACTCTGACGCAATACATTTAAGTACATGTGGGACTATGCTACTGTGGTCGCGTCGCCGTTGGCGGCCTCGAAGGCAACGAGGCGCTCGTACGCATCGCGGAGCGCCACTTTGCCGCAGCGCAACATGTGCCGAAGCAACGCCAAGCGCTGGGCCAGCGGTGCGCTACTGTGCAGTCGCGGCCGACAAAGCTGGCGGCGATACCTCGCGGCGACACTCCAGTGCGCAAACCGAGAGACGATGTGACGGACTTCACGCTTGGCGATGCACCAGACGAGCTTGCGAGCACCGAGGTTGACGCTCGCCGAGACGATGGCGCGTTGGATGCGCATGCGGTGCCGGGCAACTCTGTGGACGTCGGCGGAGTAGCGCCAGAGACTAAACACCAGCGAGACCCAGGATGCCGACGCGTTGATGGTGTTGCGCCTTGTGTGCCACGTCACGAGGCGGTGTCGCAGCGATCTCTCGCGGACGAGTCTTGCCCAGTGTTGGAAGACGCGGTCGCATCGGCGATGCCGCTGCCGGCGTCGGTGGAGGAGAAAGCGGCGCCATCTACGAGAGAGGGAGTTGAGAGTACAGACAGCTACGGGCCGCACCGAGCAAACGCCGCCAAAAGACCGTAGCTCGTCGTCGTCGCGTCTCGACTCGTCCGTGCATCATGGAGCTGCGCGTGCAGCGAGTGCAATTGCCAGCGCGCCCAGCTCGTAACGAGCCAGCGTCGGGCGCGGAGCGTCAGCAGCGCGATGAGCTTGCGACTCGCGCGGGGCCGGGCGCGCGACGGCACAAATGTAATGTACACAGGATGCGACAAGAGACGCCGCGGGCGCTGGAGACGACTCGGCAGTCGACGGCGGCAGGTGCGCTGCCACGCACGAAGCAGATACCGAAGTGCAAAGTGAGACAGGCGGCGGATGCCGGCACGCCGACGCTGCGACTGCCGTTGCACCCGCCGTCGCCAATTTTGGAGCGCCCGGTGCTTGACAGAGTCGTTGGTATACTGGTTGTGCAAAGCGCCGCACTGACGCGCCAGCATCCACCGCAGCCATCGAGCAAAGGTAGCGTGCAGCGTGATGACGTCATACAGGCGTCGACGATGCCACGCTCGCCACGCTACAAACCCGGCACGTAGTATCGACGTGCAGTGTCGTGTGAGGAGCGCATCTCGACGGCGCCGGCGCATCGACGCCCAGTGCTGCCAACGCGAGAACCGCTGCCGCTGCTGCTGGATGGCCCGGTCGGCCAGGTGCCACTCGAGGCGACGGTAGCCCTCGACGGCGCTGGTGACGAGTTGCAGCCAGCACCGCCACGAGCGCACGAGTACATGAGAGGCTTGGCGGCGACGGAAAGCGTCCAGACGAACGGCGCATGCGACGTGCCACTGCTGCCACCGGCGCATGGCCGCTCCTCTCAGTCGTCCGTGGTGCGTGCAGAGGTGCAGTAGCCCCAGTGCAAGCTTGGCGTGTTGGTGGCGGCGCTCGTGATGCCGTACGACGCGATGGGCGTGCTGCTGGACTTTGGCAAACCCGCGAAGGTGGTGCTGCATGAGCTGTGTCCCCCGTGCATGGACGGTCCATAGCGTCCACGTCGCGAGCCCATGGCACAACCGCGCCGACGTGACGCGGTGCACTCTACGCCGCAATACCTAGTTTGCATCCATAGGGGACCATACTGGAACGGAATGGATGTGTACGTCAAGCAAGGTTTGTAGCTTGGCGTGACGCTGCCGCCATAACCGCAGCGCAAGCGCTTGTTGCTGACGAGCCCGGTGCCGCCATAGCTTACTGCACGCTCTGCGCTGCTGCGTGGCGCTAGACAGAAATGTTGACGCTTGCATGATGGAGCCGCAGTTGAACGCACCTACGCCACGTGAACCAGCGCACGCGAAGGAGATAGCGCGCAAGGATAGTCGCCGAGACGCGCCAGTGCCGCCGAACACGACCTGTGCGCTGATGCTGGCGCTTCCATTGCTGCCAAACAACGCTCAGGTCCCTAAAGGATCGTTGCCCTTAGCGCTCCGCATATGCATCGGCCGCCGTACCGCATCGCATGGCTCTTCGCAACGGCGCTACAAACGCGCCAGTGCCAGTATCCATTCCGTAGCCGACGTCGAGCGTGATGTACGAGGAGCTTGGAAAGGACTTGGCAGTGGCCAACCCGGGTGCGCCACTGACGCCAAGTGCTTCGGACAACGCACCGTGACAACGTCGTCCAAAGGAATGCGCTGCCCGTGCGCGCTTGACGCCGCGCACGATGCCGGAGGCTCCAGTCGAAAAAGGCGCGGGCGATGTAGGTGGACCGACGTGCCTGAAGAAACATCACAAGTCGGCGGCGCGCGACTGTATGTTGCCGCCACGCCCGCAGACTCGATCGCATCTACCACAACCGGAATCAATTGGGCGGGCAACGGCAGTCTAATGTACCACAGATGCCTGGCAGCGCAGTGCGAGGCGGGTTTCCAGTTGCCGAAGGTGCTGCGTGTGAGCTTGCCACTGCCACAATCGGCGCGCTAGCTGCACGCGCGCCCACGATGCAACGTGCGCGATAGCGATAGCCAAGAGATGGTCGCGATGGCTGGATGTGCGATGCAACTTTCCGCTGCGCGCCAGGCGCATGGCTGCCTTCCATGTCAGCAGCGCGCGGGCGACGATCCGGATGTTGGAGCCGGCGACCGATCGGCGCAGACGCTGGTGCGCCGCCGCGTTACATCGTTCTGCAGCTTCCACGCGTACCACGAGCGAAGCTGGGTACCGAACGAGTCGGATGCCGCGATAGCGCTTTCGCAGCTCTGTTGGACGCGCTGCTCCATCTCGACCAGTGCGCGCTTCGCCACGGTGGTCGTGCGCCAGTGGTAAAACGTCCGAAGAAAGAGGTGGTCGCCGATGCTTGCAACCACAGTGCGCCAGCGGAGCCATGCACGGCACTGTCGTCGCCGTGGCTGTCGAGACGTCCAGCGCAGTAGCCACTTGCAGCCGTCCACATACGAAGGGTCTACCGGAGGCGCCGGGTAGGGGGACTGCCACTGCACACGACCCGTCCATGCATTTTCATAGTAGTTTCGACCCGTCGCGAGGTCGCAGCGCACTTGCCAGACTTGGTGTAGAGACCCTTGCCAACGCCGCCACGCGCGTCGCATTTGCAACCGGTTCATGCCAATAAGAACTCGGTGGGCGGTCGCACGGTACAGTGGCAGCACGAAACGACTGCGGACGCGCCAGTGCAAAAGCACATGCCGCTGGACGCTTTGCAGTCGCCGTGTGACGAGCCGGCGCAAGCAGGTGCTGTAGCGCGTCTCGTTGTGCCATTGGTGCCACGCAATCTGTGTCACTCGCTCGGTTCTGCGTCGGAGTACGGCCCGCAATCCGTCAACCGACCGGGCGCGTGTGGCCTTCCAGAGGCACCGCCGAAGGCACATTGACGTCCACTGCTGCCACGCGTTGGTCAGACGCAGTCGTCGGTTGCTCGTCAGCTGAGCGTGCAGCGACGCCGTGGTGGCGCGATGCCATGCGTCGCTGTGACGGCGCCACGTCATGAACCCGATGTGGACTTTTCTGAACGCGGCGCGGCGCGACACGAGCGTGTGCCAGAGCGCGAATGCTTCGACGCGGTGTGCGACGTCGACCATGCGCTCACGCTGCGCGCGCGCGAACGCCTTCCACGTGCGAAATCCTTGCGCTTGGCGGTACTTGGTCCAAATTCCGCTGTAGCGGCGCAGCCGCAGAACTAACACGTCTGCTCGAAGTTGTGTGAGCTCGTCTGTATGCACCATGCTGCGCCAGTGGCGAAAGCCTATTGTGTGCATTTGCTTGGCGCGAATCACGAAGCAGTGGCGCAGCTGCTGCGCTCGACGCAGAGTGGATGTGGCGTCGAGGTGGCGCTGCGCCTGACCGAGATATACGGCCCACGTCCAGCGCATCCAGAGGCTCCGACGTAGCGCAAGATATCGCCGGTCTCCCATGGCTTTGAGACAGCGCTGCTGGGAAAGAAGCCGCCGCCAACCCGTCCATGCCGTCAGCACAAAACGTCGATGCCGCGTGCGTAAACATCGGGCGAGTGCGCGCGTCGCCCACTGCGGCTGGTACAACCGCCACGCGCTCCATCGACGGCGGACCACTCTCTCTTGCCGTGCGGCTAGCCATCGCGAGAGGCACTGCAGTCCCATGAGCTGCCGCGACGATCGCCATGCACGGCCCACGCGCGACGTTTGCGTGGGTGAGACGACCAACCGCCAGAGTTGGAACGCCGCGCTCAATGGAGGCCGAGCTCTTTGGTCGTATGCCATTGCGAGGATCGATCGCAACGCGTTGCTGCGTGTCTACTCGCGACAGATGACAGGTCATCCCATCCACAAATAGGTACCTGGAGCTCCATGCACTTGATCGTAGTTGTATCGTTGCGCCACTTGCAGAAGGCTCGGGTGGTCTCCTGTCGCCGCGCTCGCTTGATGTACGCGTCAACGCTCGAGAATGCGAGCTGCCATTGCAGACGCTGCATCGTCCTCCGCGTCTGTTGACGCAGAGCGTGGCGCCATTGGCGCACTGCATGGCTGTAGATGCGAAATGTGTTGGCGTCCTGCGCGCGTCGATGCTGCTCTTGACGGGCCTTTTTAGAGCATAGAAAGTCCAGCCATGCGCGCCACATGTGCTGCTGCGCGCGCATCTGTCGTGCTCGGTGCCGTGAGAGAATGTGGGTGTGCTGATGGGCGCGCAGATGCCAGAGCCGCAGCGCGTGACGCCGTCTCGATGCACGGAGCGCAGCGTCCGCACATTCAAGGCGGTGATGGCAATACGCCGTGTCGATCCAGTAGCGGTATAGCCTTCGACAAGCGGCGTGGCGTCGGCGGCGGTGGGTCCTCTGGACGATAGAGGCCAAGAGCACGTGGCGTCGCATAGCGTCTTGCCACCGCCTCCAGCCGCAGCGCAGATATCGTTGGCGCCTACATCAGTGGAATCCACGACATGATGCACAGTCGTTGCAGTCCTACCGATGCGCCAGCTCCAGAGCGAGGCGGGCCGCACGACGGCAGACGAGCTTGGCGCGAAGCCGCATGGCCGCTTGGTGCCACAAATGAAAACTCTCGGTCTTCCATCCTCGGTGCAGTCGGTGCCCGAGACATCGGAGAACGCGTTGAAGACGCTGCTTCTGGGCGTGGGCCTCTCTCCACCGCGTCCAGAGACGCCACAGACGACGGCGTTCCATCTGCCGGAGCGCCGCCAGGCGCCTCACCTGACCTCGTAGCCGATCTTGCTCGTGTGCCACAACCTTCTTCCATTTTGAAACAGCCGACAACAAGCGGCCTTGGGTGTACTGTCGCCGCGCAGACAGACGTCGCAGAGCATCCCAGCGAGAGACATCGAGCTGCGTCGTTCGATGCCAGTGTTGAAATGCCTGTACACCGTGCGTAAGTGTTGCCCGAGGTAGTTGGGTGAAGCTACCTCTCGCTCGTCGGCAAGGCGGGCATCTCGCGCGTGGCGGGTAACCAAGCGTCCGATCAGCCGAGCAGCCACGTGTTGTGCCCACTCTTTCCGTTCGCGAACGACCCACGAGTCATCGTACACGAGCTCTCTTGGTGCTGCATCGATTAAGTGCAGACAAGGCAGCGTCGGACTCGACTCGAAAGGCTCGGCGTCGTCTTGGTTGGTCGAAAAATGCGACGCGTAGCTGGCCGAGAGCGCAAGGCGCCGAGAGGCAAACGCTGCTGCGCGGGCGTGGGCGCTCTTGGGCGCCGCGGGCAGCAAGAAAATGGCTTCGTGCAAGAGTCGTCGTAGCGCCGCCTGCTGCGCCTCCTCGGGAAACTTGCGCCACGCCAAGAGGATGAGGGCTTCGACGAAACTGAGCGCGTCCAGATGCGGGCGCAGCGGTCCACTGGCTGCGCAGATATGATCACTTTGAAGAACGAGTACGGCTTCGTACCTTGGGCGTAGACGAGATCGACGTCGACGGTCGTGAACCACGGCGTGAGGAGGTTGGGGGCGTCATGGGCCATTCGGCGGAAGCCCGCATTGGTCATACGACCGCCAGGCGCGTTGGCGTACGCATGAAAGACGTCGCGGAGGATCGCGTCGTTGTCGTCGTCGTCGTCGGCTTCGGTCTTCATTTCGGACGCCTTGGACTTTGATCGAACAACATGACGATGCGACGATTTGTTCCAACCTGCAGCTGCAAAACATCGGATTTTAGAAACATGCGTTTTTGAAACCGGATGAAACGGCGCAAGATCGATGCCGGTGCTCATCCTCACTGACTACCTCGCACCGATCCCATCGGGCTTGCACCTGCGGCTCGACGGCGTCACGCTCGATGCCAAAGCCTTTGACCGCCTCGTCTTGCTCGTCCAGGCCAACCCGCGCATCCGCCGGCTCTCGATGCGCAACCTTGGTTTGCAGTGGTTCCGTCGTCGACGGCGAGTGACAATATTTGGTTCGTCCTAGGTCTCGGGCCCAAGCTTGCTGTGTTCGTTGCCGACCTTTTGGCTACCAATTGTACGCTCACGGCCGTCGACTTGAGCGGCAACGCGATCGGATCGCATGGCGCCAAGTGCCTTGCCACCGTGCTCCTCGAGCGCAACGCGACGCTGCAAGAGCTTTCGCTGGCTCGCTGTGGCCTCCACAGCGACGCGTTTCTCAGCTGGATTGAGTTTTTCGAGCGCGCTTCGCCCGACACGACCTTTCATACGCTCAAGTACCGCGCGATAGAAGGGTTCTTCGTCGTTGATGGTTTTGTAGCGTCGCCCACAACGCCATCGGTGACGACGGCGCGTTGGCGTTGGCAAAGGCGCTCGAGCACGAGCGGCAATTGCCTCTTCGCGGGTGGCGCTTCGACCTGCGGCGCAACGGCATCACAGACGTTGGCGTGACGGCGCTTGCGACGCTCTTGGCAAAAACACATGCCGTCGTGCAGCTGGATGTCGCCAACGCCCGGTCGTTCGAGGTGCGGGAGCCCGAGCGCGTCGTCTTTCTTGAGCACCGGTGTCGGCGCAACGCAGCCGAGATGCACACCCGAGGTACCGATTTGCATATGTTGCCGTCGACGTCCTCGTCGTCATCCGACTGCACAACCACGTGCGTAGTCGTCGACGCGGCGGTGCGGACGATTCTGGCATCGACCCGTCGTGCCGAATCCATGGTGCTTGAGAACGTCCCTGTGTCGGTGGCCCAAGCTGTCGGTTTGGCCCATGCGCTCAAGCACACGCTGGCGACCACGAATTTGACGCTTCGCAACAATGCGCTGTGTCTAGCTGCGCTCCAGCGCCTCGCGGAGGGACTTGCTTTCAACCAAACGCTCTACCGCCTCACGCTCCGAGACAATGGCGTCTCGGGCGACGCCTTCGTCGCGCTTCTGAGCGCGCTGGCGCGAAACGCCACGCCGCCGCTCCGGGAGCTTGAGATCTCGCACGCGACGCAGCTACCCATGCCTCTCTGGCCTCGGCGCGTCAACGGGCGCGTCTATCGTTTCTTTACGCAGACGGGTCATCAGCTCACGCACATCACACTCGACCACTGCGGGCTCACGGACGTCGACGTGGGCGCCATCGTCGCCGGCCTTGCGTGGAACGGTGCGCTTCAAGCCGCAAACTTTGGGCGCAACCACATCACCGACGCCGGCGTCCGCATCTTTCATTTGCTGCTGCACCGCTGCGCAAATCTCGCATCGCTCGATATTGTAAGCTTCTGAAAGTGGCGCAGAAAGGCTCATGTCGTCGCGTAGAGCGGGAACCAGTGCACCCTCGACGGCATCGTCAGCGTCGTCGCCCGCGCGAGCGACCACTTGCGCCTCCGGAGTCTGCGCGTCGGGCGTTTCCCGGAGTTTTCCCCGACCTTGTTTACGATTGCGAGCCACATTGGGCGCAGCGACTCGCTCCTGCGCTTTGAGATTGCCGCCGCAAATGACCACTCGCGCTACGCGTCGGCCAAAGCGGCCATCCAAGCCACGTTGAATCTCAACCGGAAAAAGAACCCCGTGCCGCCAGCGACTGCGTTTGCAGCCTGGACTCGCCACTGCCGCGGCCACTACATGGCCCGGGACGTGGCGCACAGCACCGCGTCGCGGCTCGTGCAGCCGCACAAGCACATCATTGCGATGCGACTGTTGCACGTCGAAGATGTCAACGTGTTGATTTGCTTTGCCTGCTGCGAGATGGCGTCGGAAGATATCGACGCGCGTCTCCGATTCGAGTGGGCTGGCATCGTTTCCAATGACATTGATGCAACGCTCCTCCTCGAACGCCGCCACATGCAGAGCGAGGACGTCGATGTCGTGTAACCCGCAAGCGCGACGGGACCGGAATCTTTTTTTCAATCACCAGAGAGATGTTGTCGTGGTGATTGTTGCTGTCAACATGGGCGTCGACCGGTGGCGGGGCGACGGTTGGTAGTACAACTGGTACGTGTCGTCGTCCGAGACGATATCGAGCTCGGGCACGTCGAGGTTCGATCCAAAGTGGTGGCGCGGGATCCAGTAAAACACATACAACGTGACCCACTCGGGGTACACGAAGCTGCCGAGCGTGATGCACAGCCGAATGAACTGCTCGATCGCGCCGTCGTCGTCGTCGTAAAAGAGCGTAGCGCAGTTCGTGTCGCCTACGCCGGACCATGAGACATTGCCGTGGGCGAGCCGGCACGCGGACCGACGACGATGTAGGCGATGTACAGGTCGTACGACAGCTGCAAGAGCGAGCTGATCATGTTGGCCTACGCAAGACGTCAACAGGATAAGGACACATGTGGGCACAAACAAGAAGCAGGAGCCAGAGCTGCTTGTACGACTGCTCGAGCTCGTTGGGCGATATGCCAAGCAGGCCTTTGATCCCATGGCGCTGCAGTAGCCATGAGCCAACATCGCTCGCAGTGCAATGACGCGTCGTACCTGGACCGACTTGGCGGCTTTCATCTCCCGCAGGACGACCGAGCCAGACATGGCAAAACTCACTACCACCGGACACAAGATGATGATGATGATGATGGTATTGGACGCAGTGGTGTACCGGCGAGCGTCGCGGATGCGAGCGACATGACGAGCCAAGACGAGTGGTGGCAGTCGACAATTGGGTCATCAAGCATGACGATGACATCGGCGGTCATGAGGATCGCGACGCCGAGCAGTACGGGCGCGAGGAGCCCATAGAGGCAGACGCGCTTGCTTGTGATCTCGCACGCCAAGGCGCCGTAGAGCCAGCACGAGATCGCCACCTGCATGCCACGGCAGTACTTGGCGCCGAGCATGAGCTTGGGTGCGTCCAGCCAGAGGCAGCGCACGAGCACGAGAAATATTTCAATGCCGGCGAGCGCGACCATGACGACATTGGGCCGCAAATGGGGCGACGTGATGCTACTGGGCAGCATGATGTACACGAGGTAGACGCACGCCACAGAGGTCCAGAGCGACATGGTGCCAACCATGAGGCCGCGGAGACAGAGCCAGACGTCCGGCGCATCGCTCGAGCAGTACGGCAGCATCGCTGGAATCTTCGGCAGATCTTGGGCGCCCTTTGGTCGCTGGCTAAAACCACGCAATTTCAACGGAACGTTGCAACTTCAACACTTCTATTTTTATTATTTGCGCACAAACGCGTCCATGGGACCGCCCTTGCGCGGCTTCTTTGCCGGCGGCGCACGGTACGACTGCTGGAGATCCATCGCGACGTGGTAGTCGTCGTGCTCTTGCCACGGCGTCGTTACGACCGCGTGGCAACGGTCGCAGAACCGGCCGTCAACCACGCTCGTTTTGGCTTCAAAAAAGCGCGCAATCGTCGGTGGCTTGACAACGACGGGCGGCGCCGTTGTATACAGCGCTTTGGACGCCGACGCTGAGAAGAAGCGCTTGATCGATGCCGGCGCCGGCTCCTTGGGCAGATTGGCCGGTGGCTCCTTCTGTGGTCGGACGACCATTGGCGCCTCGGGTGCCACGGGTGCCGTCTTGAAAAAATGAGTGATCGTCGCATTCTTCTCAACGACTGGGATGAAATCGCGGGCCACGACCGCCAAGTGCATGCACGGTACGATCGTCGCGTGCTCCAACAAGGGGAAAATGGCCTGTGTCATGGAGGCCACGTCAATTTTGGGGGGTGCGGGGAACTTTTTCTGCATTGGCTTGTCGTTCTGGCGCTGATAGCTGAGAGCAAACTGCGTCGGCGTGCGGTGGTTCTCGACCACCTCTTCCTCGTCATGCCGCAAGACGACTTCTTCGCAGAGAATTGTGATCCAGTACTTGACGCGGTCCAGCGAAAGGACGGGGCCGACTTGGTTGAAGCTCTTCATTGCCGACACGTGCTGGGCCACGACCTTCTTGTCGTTGACCGGCTCGTTCCCGTCGCTGCCCGAGCACACGTTGAAGACGAACGCGCCTACGTCGTGTCCGAGCTCGCGCTGCAGGCCGTCCAAGCCATACGCGTTGAGGAGGTCGCCGGCGAAGATCCGGTCGGCGTCCGGGGCCATCTACCCGACCCATTGTGACGACACAGGACTAGAAACACGCATCTTAGAAACCTTTTTGCCGAGGTCAACGACGCGCTGCCCGAGCTTGCCGCCAAGTCCGCGGACTTTGTCGACGGGAAACGTCTGCATAAAGTGTGCAATCGACCGGTCCGGGATGACCTATGCACATAATGTCTCATGCTTTGTAGACACTATGGTGTACGGTTTGGCCGTTGGGCTTGTTCATCGGCGACGCCTAGGATATACTACCGTGAGACTCGCGGGCATGACTTGCGTGGAAGTTGCACGAGCTTGGCGACGAGCTTGTTGGACGCAACGCCGACCGAGCACGTATAGTGCAGCGTGGCGAGCACTTCGCGGCGGATCTCTTGGGCGATTGTGGCGCCAATGCACAGCAGTTCCTCGTCCTCCGTGAGCGGAAAGACACTGCCGTTTACGCCAATGACCTGGACGTCGGCGTTCCGCGGGTCGTCGCAGTAGGCGACCTCTGGCTTCTACATACGTCACTGTTTGGCCACGATGTTCAAAACAAACAGCTCTTGGCGCTACGTACGCTCGCTTGAAAGGCGGCGAGGCGCGCAGTGGCTTGGTCCGTCACGTCCAAAAACGCTTCGTCAATGCTCGCCCGCTCGTACACGGGCGCGTGCTTGGCGAGGATGCGGAAGATCTCGCGACTCGCCAAGCGGTAGCGCCGCAGCACAGCTTTTTGGCGCGACCGGTCAAAGTGCGGGTTCTTGGTCAAGTCGGCGCCCGGCGGCGGCACGGATCCTTCGCCGATGGTTTCAACGTGCGGCTGCTTACCACATGAGCCAGTGCAATCGCTGCGCCGTCGGAAGCACGTACCAAGTGGATATGTGGACACTTCTTGCGCGCATCGGCAATGTAGTCGCCTAGAGCGCACGATTAAAACGACATGGCAATGGGCGGCAAGGTTTACTGCGCGAGACGCCGTAGGGCCGGGCGGCGTAGTTGACAGCGAGCAAGCTGCCCCACTGTTGGACCGCGACGGGCTCACCATCTGGGATACCGAGCCGGACGGCCTCGACCTGCGCGTAGAAGCAGTCGAGGTCGAGGTGCAAGATGACCCGCATGCGCGCTTGTTGGCCGGTACGAAATGGGCGTGCATCTTTATCCGGCGCGCCGGATACGAACGGCCAGCGATCGGTTTTTTGGAGGGAAGACCGGCGTGGCGTTGTCTCGCGCGTTGACGTGCGCCAACTTTTGGCAGCTTCTACATGACGCTTATAGGAGGATGGGCAGATCAGGCGCGGAAACGAGATGCATGGGCGCAGCCGGCGCCATCATGGACAATGTCAATGGAGATGCGTTGGTCGTTGCCGAGCCCTCTTGATGACATCAGCCGACGTACCACGTGTACATGCAGGTCCTATGCACAGCGCGGCCATGTATTGGGTCGTGCGTCTTGGCTTCCTCACCCAACTCCAAGACGAACACAGACGGCGGCGATAGCGTGAAGGTGATGGTAGCTGCATCTCGACTGCGCCTAGTACTGGCTGCAGCTGACGGCAACGTGAGGCTGTCTCGATCGTCCTTCGGATGTGCGCCTAGACACGGCCAACGGCGCATTTGTTGTCAAATCAAAGAGGCGTGCCCATCCTCGTTCGTTCCTGGTCAGTTGGCTCGGGTGGCTACTGGCACACGTCTGCATGCCTTTGTGGTGCAACCGCTAGTGCAATGTCGGAGCAGAAACCGCCGCGTCTTTGGCACGCAACGGGAGCGGCATTGAGTGAGCTCTTGGAGTGGCCTAGACGAGGCGGCAAAGCGCTCAAGATGCAGCGCGAAAGGCTCGATCGCCATCACGGTGCTTTAATTTGTAATGGCTCGAAGGAATCAGACGACGGCCCATACACTGGCTGGTCATGCCTACATCAAGCGCGGGCAGCGAAAGTGCAAAGTCACTGGAGCCAGATGAATACAAGAACTACTCTGGCGGCTCGTACAATACAAGCCGCGCACAGCACATCCCCGCACCGCAAGTCTGTGACGGTCGACGTCTCTGTCAAAAACAGGCTACCCCGAATACAGCACAGCACCCCATAGACACGAATCGTCATACAGGCGCGTGGATCTTGGTCGAAGATATGCTATCTATTGATGTATGCAGCAAACGAAAGCACGGGTGCGGCCAGAGTCTTGGTCACGACCAACCGCGCTCGATTCCGTTCAACAGTACCGGTAGGCGAAATCGGTACCGTATTAGTACTAGGGTCGACGGTGGTCACTACTGGCGGAGCACGCCTCGCACCTTCCGCGAGGGTGGGATCGACCACCAATTTGATGCAAGCACCGCATCTCTAATGAGTTACGAGCTCGCGAACGCGGCTCCGGAGCGAACTCTTGGTCAAGCGTTTTCGTGTACGGATCTGGGAATGGTTGAAGCCATTGTGCAAGCTGGGAATGCGGAATCGTTGGACTTAGCAACATGCGCTTGCTCTAAAAGCACATGTTGCTGTAGAGTGCGCCTCTCGACTGCTCTTTCGGCTTTCGTAGCGTGCACCACCAGCCAGGTCCTTTGTTACATCCGAGAGACGGCGCGTTGGGAGTGCAACAAGATCAGTCCTCGCGCCCGCGTCGACTCGAATGGCCGTGGCACTTGCTCTGGTTCGTCTATGGCTGGAATACGTCGTCGGTTGGTCCTCCGCCCGCTTCGTGATGCCAATCAAGGGTAGAGTATCCCCGATCTCCCGACGCAAGACTGATTATACGGTGCTCAACGACGCCCTTTCTTCCGAGCAGCCATCCACTCGATACTTTGTGCCTCTACCGATCAAAGCAAGACCACGGACGACGCCGTGGTGCATGGGGCCTCGCAGTGGACTTGGTCGCGTACGATGATTTTTGCTCGTTGGGTCCAATACTGCCAACCGTGCGGGAATGATGGGTCCTTTCTTTGGGTCGAGATTCCGTGCTCGTCCCACGCTGCCCCGATGAAGACTCAAAGGGTGGGATCGGGTGCGATAAACTGGTTGGGTGTAATGCACCTTTGGATCATGTGCCGACGTGGGATGCGCGTGCACCCATGCGCCTGGTCTTGCGTCGACGACCTCATTCGGCATTTGGCGGCCTCACGCACACACCCTCCTCACGACTACATCCTCCGACATGCAGCACCAATGTGTCTTTAACGACTGCACGGCGATGGCGCTCCCGGACGCCAACAAGTGCGACTTTCACAAGAACCGCAAAATGTGCGTCGTCGCGCACTGCAGCAACCAAGTGTACGCGCGCGGTCGCTGCGTCCGCCACGGCGGCAAGAAGAAGTGCCAAGTCCCGACCTGCGAGTCGTATGCGCGCGGCGGTGACTTTTGCTCCGAGCACGGCGGCGCGTCGCCCAAGCGCTACTGCTCGGTCGCGGGCTGCCAAAAGCAAGCGCACGCCCGTAAAAAGTGCGTGCGCCACGGCGGCGGCCGCCTCTGCAAGCTGCCCGGCTGCCACCAGCACGCGCGCCTCGCGGGGTTCTGCCACCGCCACAACGAGTCCATGATGCCATCGTCCTCCTCCTCCAACGATGACGACGACCACGACGAGGTGCTCGAAGCGCCGCTCTCGGTGGCCGAGATGGACGAAATCCTCGCGTCCGACCCGACAATGCTGTCGTTCTTGAACGAATGGATGGCCGGGTCGTCGATCGAGCTCGCCCATCGCATCAAGATGGAGATCGAGCCGACGCAGATCAAGCTCGAGCCCGAGGCACCCACGAGTCCGATGGAGGTCGAAATGTTCGACTGGCAGCTCGACGCCAACCTGTGGCGGGGTCTCGAGACCATGTTTTCTTAAGTGCTGTCGCCGCTTCATATTATTTAATGCCGTTTCCGCCGTGTCCACTATAATTTCACTCGTCCGTTTTCTGTCCACTCGAGGATTGCCTAGAGATATTTCGGAAAGCATCCGATGCAACGCTACAATTTTCGCCATCCAAACAGAATAGATTTTCAACGTCATCGCCTCGTATACAGTATGCATGGACTGTACCAATGTGTACTTGTCCATTTTGCAGCTCGAACAGGAGGTTGAACGGGTACTGTAAACAGTACGCACGGCGTCGCCGACTTCGGTGGAATATCGAGTCAGCTAAGAAAGGGCAACGAGGAGCACAAGTCGACCAGAAGCTCAACGAGAAAAGCTGGTAGCCAGCAGCTTCGCCAGCGCTCACGCATGCGTCGGTTGTTTCTTGTGCGAGAACGCGTCATCGACACACTTGACATGGAATATGCGTGGCGCTCGATCTTTGACAAGAAGGAAGGCGCGATCGCTTCCATCCGTTTCTAAGCACCATACGCGTCAAGCAATATGTGACTACCAACGGTACCACAAATCTGCTCCGCTTCTAGTCATCAGATGTGTCATTGTCGACATGCTGCGTGGCGCAGACTCGTTGGTGCGAACCACGCTGGGTCTACGTAAACTAACATCAACGTCCCAGTGGATCTGGTCGCGGACACACAGCTGGTGGCTTGCGAGGCCACCAGTTGAGATCTATTCGGTTGCGCTGCGTGATGCCGTCATGCAGGGTATATTCCAGAGATTTTGTGTATATTCCAACACCTATCGAACCCAAATGCGTCGAGGAACGCTTCTTCTTCAAGATCTTTTGATACGACGCGCCAAGACCTCATCTGCGTTCGGTGCACCAAGTATAAAACCTCAGTTTAGCTGTCGACGACAGCTAAACTGAGGCTCAAGGCGCGGCATAAGCACCATAGGACTGCTTCGTGCGAAGCGCGACGGGAGCTGGAATGTATGTTTGTCCAAATTTCGCAAATCATATCTCCGCGGTGGGGTCGTGAAACCGGCGGTGTATCAGATGAATGCTAACTGAGCCATGTGCTCTTGAGGTCTGGGACGATGGGTTCGCGCTCGTATACCGGTAGTATTGCTAGTCCTGACGCTAAAACACCAGTTTGGCGCAGATGCAGGGGTGTCGCGCCAAAACGGTTTGGTATCTTTGTTTGGACCAATCAAATGTCAAGCGAGGTGACGCAGCGCACAACGCAGCGTCAATGACATGCCGTCCGGTGCCGGGTCTTTGTCCCCGCCACGCCAGCTGAACGTCCGAATCGGCCAATCCGAAAGGTGCATTGGTCGTGAAGATCAATGGTTGGTGGTATTTTTGATCTGACATCTATGTCGCCCATCCCAGTCATCGAATAGTGTCATCTGTCATGTCCATGATGATAACTACCCCTGCAACAGACTTTGCTGTATAGAGCCGTGTATTACAGTTCGTACACCCATGCACAAGGAGACAGTTCCTCTGTGAGCATACCAGCCTGTGATCGACATGACTCACAGCACGCATCGGATCACCCCACTTCTCAATTTGCCTCGACTCGATCCATCTATCTTCATGGCCATGCACTCGTCGTCTTGCGTCGTCAGTGGTTGTCAAGCCCCAGCGCTCTTTGGCCTCAACAAGTGCACGATGCACAAGAACCGCAAGATCTGCTCTGTCAACGACTGCTGCAATATCGTCTATGCGCGCCAGCTCTGCGTCCGCCACGGCGGCAAGAAGCAGTGCCGTGAGCCAAGCTGCTCGGCGTACGCACGGGGCGGCGACTATTGCGGCGACCACGGCGGTCTCTCGCTCAAGCGCTTTTGCGTCGTCGAAGACTGCCTACGCCAAGCCCACGCTAACCGCAAGTGCGTGCGTCACGGCGGTGGCCGGTTCTGCAAAGCCCCCGGGTGCCCCCAACACTCGCGCCACGGCGGCTTTTGCCACCGACACATGGTGCTTGAAACGCGCGGTCAAGCCAAGCGTACGCAGCCCATAAACTACATCAAGATCGAACCCATGACCAGCGTGCCGTTTCTCCCAGAGCCGCAAAAGTACGTTCTCGACGCGATCGACACGTCGATTCTGTCGCTTCTGGACGACGAGTCGTGGGTGCACAGCGGCCCTTGCAGCCCCGACACGGTCGCATCCTTCGACTGGCACCTCCATGCGTCGTCGTGACGACAATACCAACGGCGATAGTAGTATTTAAGCGTGGTGTCGCAACGAATTCGACGGAAGAGGAAACGAAATCATCTAATAGTTAGTAAACGGTTCGGTGTTTGCTACGGTACAAAGTACTAGTATGTTGGTACAAAGTATGTTGGAGGTTGTCCTTTTGTGCATTTCTCAAGGTTGAATTCGCACCATGGCACGACTGCAGCAACTCCTTAAGTTTTGTCGTTGCGCGGAGCGTCGCACACGTGCATGGAAAGGCCCGTGGCGACGTCAAGCCTGCAACAAGAGACTTGCAAAGGTGGTGGCGGGCTCTAGAAAGCCAGTCAGCACGACAGCAGGGCGCTGCTAACGTTTTAGCCTGTGCTGCGATTTGCTGCAGGTACAGCTAGGAGGCGCCGTCATCGTAGAGGCATACGGATGTATTTTAACGCCAAATAGGCGGTGCTCTTGTCGCCTTGATCCGTCCGACCACGTGCTTGTCGCGCCTGAAAAGGCTACCGGTAGTCATATGTGTGCCCGTGTGTATAAGACAGGGGTGTTACCGTGCACAGAGAACCTACCTTCGGATGTACTCGTACGCAGCTTGTTACGTCGCGCCACGGGACAACTTCAAGGCAACCATCTCCCAGCCTGCTTCTCAGCACCTTCCTACCGGGTCATACTGGCAGCGCGAGCTCACGGCGCCGAAGCAGCGTCCTCGCCGGTTCGTTGACCGCGCACGTCGTCGTCGCCACCCATGACGCTTTGACAAAGTCACATGGGGCCATCGCCACCGTACATACGACCCGTAGACGGCTGCTCATGTCGCGACGACGACTGCACTGGCGCGCTCTCCAGTTTGGTGGTCGAGATGCTGTGCTGCAAATGTGTATCCGGATGTGTCCGGTTAATCGTAACGCATGACGTATCCGGAATATCCGGTTAAAGTCGCGTCAGCGTCAAGCCTTGCCACCTTGGCCGTCTGCGATGGGCTTTAACCCGCGGTCGCTCTTCCAGTGGCTGCTCGTGCTCTCAGCTGCATGCTTCTTCCTCAACCTCCTCCTCCTCTCGGGCACGTCCAACCTGGTCCAGCGTAGCCCGCTCACGCACCTGCGCCACACGGTCGATCGCGTCCCGATCCGCACCGAGGCGCGCGCCGAGGACGCCAAAGATAGCCGGCGACCCCACGAGAAGCGGCGCGACCAGGTCGTCGACATGATGCGCTGGGCGTGGAAAGGCTACGAGACGCATGCGTTTGGCTACGACGCCCTCGACGTCAAGCGCATGACGGGCACCGGCCTGCCTGGCCACGACATGGCCATTTCGCTCGTGGACTCGCTCGACACGCTCTACATCATGGGCTTGGACGACGAGTTTCAGCGCGCGGTTGAGTGGACCGAAGCCAACATGGCCGAGCGCTTTGAGCAGCATACGCCCATCAGCATCTTTGAAACCACGATCCGCATCTTGGGGTACGTCGAGCTCGCAAAAGATGCGACCATCGAACGAGCGAGGTGTGGCGATGTGTAGTGGCCTCCTGTCTGCGTACAACCTATCAGGGCGCGAAGCACTCTTGAAGCTCGCCGACGACCTCGGTACGCGTCTCCTGCGCGGGCTCCAGACGGACACGCTGCCGCTTTCGCTTGTGGATTTGATCGTACACGCCAGCTCTCGACCCAGGCTTATCCCAACAACACGTTGTCCTGTGCTAGAGCGGCCAGACGTCAGGGCGCAGCTTCATTGCCGAATTTACGACGATCCAGCTCGAGTTCAAGTACCTAAGCATTCTCACCAAAGACCCTACGTACCACGATGCGGCCGAAGAGATCATGGACAAGGTACGTCCATTGTAGTTCTACTGTTGTAAACGAAGCGTTTGGAGGTTGCCGAAATGGTCGAGCGGGACTACCCCGCAGGCCTTCTTCCCGTTCAGGTCGAAAGCTACGCGACCCGGTACGAGGCGTCTTGCCGTCCTAAACTCATGTCGCGTTAGCATGATTCCTGGCCCGCTCAAGCTCGGAGCCGGCGGCGACAGCTACTACGAGTACTTGCTCAAGCAGGTATGTACAGGATGCACTTTCCGGACTCTCATTCGGCGGACGCAGTGGATCTTCTCGGGCAAGAAGCAAGAAAAATACAAGGAGCGGTACCTCCAAGCCGTGCACGGCATGATGACCAAGCTCAAGGGCAAGACGAAAAAGTCGGGCCTCGTCTTCCTTGGCGAGCTCGACACGGACGGTGTGCTTGTGCCCAAGATGGACCACCTCGTGTGCTTTATTCCTGGTATGCTCGCCCTCGGGTACATGAACGGGATGCCAGATGCGCACCTCGAGCTCGCCAAAGACCTCCTCGAGTCGTGCTGGGAGGTAGACGTGGTCTTGCGTCTTCATAGAGCTGACGGACTTCGTATGGCTTGTAGATGTACAACCAAATGGGAAGCAAGCTCGCGCCAGAGATTGCATATTTTGAGACCGACTCGGACGTGGCCGACCTCCACGTCTCGTCCAACGACGCGTTCAACATTCTGCGCCCCGAGACCGTCGAGAGCCTCATGATTCTGTACCGCCTCACCAAGGACGAGAAATACCGCGAGCGCGGCGGCATCATCCTCGATGCCTTTGAGCGCAACTGCAAGCTTCCGGACGGCGGGTACTCGAGCGTCTCGAACGTCGACGCGCCGCTCGCGACCAAGTTTTTCCGCCCCGAAATGGAAAGTTTCTTCATGGCCGAGACGCTCAAGTATCTGTACCTCCTCTTCTCGGACGACGCGGTCGTCCCCCTCGACACGTTCGTCTTCAACACGGAAGCCCACCCGTTCCCGATCCAGCCACACGACTAGGAGCCAAGTACGTACACCTACCCCTTGTGGCGGCCGACCGGACCCGTTGAATCGCACGGTAGCATTTTGGTTGTTTAAACAACACTGTTGTTGTCATCAGATTTTGCGCTCAATAGTCGTCGTCTTATGTTGGTACTTCTACAACATTGTAGTAGCAGCGACGACTCGAAACTCGATTCGCGATGAAATTGTCAAGGGCAGTGGGTGCGCTTTTTGTGCGAGGACGGTTCGAGGTGCGTTTTACACTAATAAGGTGCGCCTTTCCATTTGGCGATCCGGCACCAAGCATGAAGGTCACGATCAAGCGGATCCATGGCGTCGCGACGTGGTCCTGGGGCGTTGACGAAGAGTGCTGTGGCATCTGCCGCTGCGCCTTTGAGGCCTGCTGCCCCGACTGCTCGGCGCCCGGCGACGCCTGCCCGCCAGGTACGCGGCGAACGAGGCGACGTTGGCCCTCATCCACGCGTAGTCTGGGGCAACTGCAACCATGCGTTCCACATGCACTGCCTCGTCAAGTGGCTCGAGTCGCTTCAGTCGGCGCGCCAGCACTGCCCCATGTGCCGGCAAGAGTGGAAGTTCCGCGAAGGGTAGCTACCAACCAAGCGCGTCTTTACATAACACACACTATTGCTGCTGCTGGTTGAAGCGCTCGACTTTGGCCATGCGCTGGTGGTACAGCTTTCGGCTTGGGAGGAACTCGGCGAGGAACTGGCTGACGTCCATCTCGCCATTCGTGAAGCGGCTGCCAATGTCCTCGGTCGCCTCGTCAACTTCGTCCGCGGCTTGCGTCACCCGCGCCACGAGCACGTCGCCTCGCACGCGCTACATCCATCTTCGCTAAGCGACCAGCCGAGCTGTCTTTCTCGTACCGAGAGGATCTCTTGCTGCCGCACTTGCTTGAGGCTCAGGACTTCTTGCGCGGCCTGGACCTGCGATTTGAGGCTCTGGATGTCCATCTGCAGCGTCGCCAGCGTCCCCTCGTAGCTCAGGTTCTTCTCTACACGTGCTGCATGCACGAGACTGAGCTGCACGCGGCAGGACGTACCCGCGAGCTCGGCGTTTCCTTTGACAAGGTCGTCGTACAGCTTCATAAAGTTGATGACGGCGTCCATGTTGCGGATGTACGCTTTGAGCGCTTGGCGGTCGCTCACGAGTTTCTCCAGTTGCGTAATGCTAGACACACGCGCTCAGAAGGTATCCTACAGAGAGGCGCTGGGTACGAGAGCTCGTCGAGTTCAGGAAACGACGTCGGAATGGCCGGCGTCTGCGTGTGCATGTATGGGTCGCGCGCCTTGAGCGGCGGCGGCGTCTTCTCGCGCGTGTACGACGAGCTTTGGCTCGTATTGTTGTTGTATGGCGTCGCATACGAGGCCGCGCCCGACGACGAAGGGTAGAACGGCTGCGTGTAGGCCGGCGACACAGGTGCGTGGTACGCCGGCGGCGGTGTCGACGTCACGCGCCCCGCGACGACCGGTGGGTTTCGCTGGAACTCGCTCAAAATGTCATTTACTAGATCACGAATATGAGCGAGACGAGATATACCGTTGACGTACCGATGCGCCCCAGGTCGGCATGGACGCCCCAGCTTGCGAGGTCAATGTGGCCGACGACGCGGCATTGCGCGTCGAGCCAGCTATGCTGCACGCGCGACGTCGTCTACTCCCACAGGCATGCACGTCAGCCATAGTATGGCAGCGAAAACGTACTTGGATCAATGGGGCTTGCATCGGAAACTCGTCGGGCAGCGAGCTATGTAAGGTACAGAGCTCAGCACCAACAGACGTCCTATCAACGATGTACATTCGCAATGTGAGCGAGCGCGCGTCGGCGAGGCGCACGACGACGTCGAAGATCGATTGCTCGTGGTTGATGGCTTGGCCCCCGGCCCGGACAAGGCTCGCGATCTGACGGCCTCGCCTACGTCGCCCAGCCCATGAGCGTCGGCGCGACCTACGCCACAGCGCACGTACAGTCGCATGAGCTCCGAGGAAGCGCCCGTATGAACGGGCGGCGCGGGCTTGGGCGGGGCTTTGCCGAAGAAGAAGGACATGTCGACTGCCGCAGCCCAGGTTTCCGAAATGGACTCTGAGGATGGCAAAAATATTTTAATTTTTCCAATGTTTGTCCTCGCATCGGATTGGCTAAAATTCGGCTCGCGAAGCGACCTGCATTCTTGCCCAAACAGTGCATTCACTGCGCCAGCATTTAGCAAGGGACGCGCCAACGTTAGCACACAACACGAACACAGAGGAGACAGCAGACGAGACCGAGCGCGAAATCAATGGTAGCTGTACCAAGAGCCCGTACTCTATATGTTCATCGTTGTGTGGGACGAAGACACCCCGTCTACTCTAGACACAGCATATCTTTGGTGCCATCCGCTTGGCTCTACTGAGCCCATAAGCGCCGTTGTGGTTATTAATCACACTCGTGTCCATATAGACGATTCAGTACCGCCCCTGTACCTTCGTGCTTGAACAACTACACTTGCATGAGCGCTGCCCGATCCAGTGGTCGTGCCATCCGGATACGAAGAGTGGCCTCCATGGCGATCTTCGATATTTGAAAGGCCAACATGGCATGGTGGAGCGCCATTGCTTGCAGCCTGCTATTGCTCGTGTCACCAACGTCTTCCGTCGTCTTCTTTGGCAATGCAAATACGTCCATGGCTGACACGCTTGCCAGCGCCTTTGCGCTCATGCAGGCCGGCGCGCGCGGCGAGGCACAAGAGAGATTGATTGCACTCGCCCGAATCGCGCCCCAGAACGCGGATGTTCACACAGCGCTGGGCGCGCTCGCGCAAATGGATGTACGTACGACATCTCGCATCGACTCTTTGCCAGTGCGTCTTTAGGGCCATGTAGACCGTGCGATCGCTAGCTATGCAACGGCCCTGTCGCTGTGTGGTCCCACGGAGGCGCTCCATGGCAACCTGGGCCTTGCCCACTATGCGAGGCAAGACTACAAGGCCTCTGTGGAGCATTTTCGAGCAGCTATTGCGCTCAACCCGGCGCGTCTGCCCGACCTCGCCCACATGCTCGGGCTGGCCCTGCACTTTCTGCGCGACGACGCCGCGGCCAAGGACATGTACGTCGCCGCTGTTGCCCACGCACCACACGACGCGGCAGTTCGCTTTGACTATGGCGTGACGCTTCAAGCCCTTGGCGATGTGGGTCTTCTACGAGAATCAAGGTCGAGTGACATCGCTCATATAGATTGAGCAAGCCGGGGATGCCTACAACCGCGCCATCGCGCTCAATCCCGCAATGGGCTCGGTACGAGTGTTCTTGGACGTGATTCGTTAGTGCACCGCTGCACTAGGCGTGGCTGAATATGGCGTCGCTGCACTTGCAGTACGGGGAAGTGAACAAGGCCCTTCGTGGGTTCGAGGTTCGCACTTGTTGGCTGCTACTGGGATCCAGCAATACTACATAGAAAACGCTGGGCCTTCCCCTTCCCATTGACCTGTGGCTGTGTGCAACGACCAACTACGCCGTGGCCCTCGAGCTGGACGGTCAAGTACGTCTTTCGACGACACATCATCGTGTCATTGTCTGCCAATGTACTAGCCTCTTGCAGCAACCAAGTTTCTAAAGCGAGCCCACGCTGTGCTACAGCTTAAGGGAGCGACAACGTCAACGCTGTACTTGCACGTGTGCGAGCACCAAATCCGAACATGGCGCGCTATTGCGTACTGGAAAGACTACGAACTGGTTTGGACGCGCTTCTTCGAGATGACGTGGCAGCACGAGATCCAAGTGTAACCGACGACGATGTATCATCATGGCACCTGCCCATACGAACGTAGTGGTGCGGTGAGCTCGATGATGCCGTTCACGTCGCTCCTGCTTCCGCTGGCGCCCGAGATGAAGCGCAAGATTGCCGAATCGATCACACGACCGCATGTTTCCGCTGAAAAACGACTTTGGCGCGCAACACCGCCGGTGGCCGGTGCCCGGCGCTTGCACGTCGGGTACCTCTCGTACGATTTCAACAACCACCCGACTGCCCATTTGATGGAAGGCCTCTTTCGTTGCCACAACGCGTCGTCGGTTGAAGTTTCCATGCTGAGCTACGGCAAAGGTTTGTCGCGTTTGCTTGAACGAGACGTGCAATTATGATCCTGGGATGTAGACGACAACAGTTCTTACCGACGCCTCTTTCCAACGCTCGTCGAACACTTTGTGGATCTTGCACGCGCAGGCACACGTGCAGCTGCTTCTGTTATCCGAGATGCGCACGTTGACATCCTCATCGACGCTCAAGGCCACACACTGGGTAGTGCAACCAAGATCTTACTCTAGCACTGCAACCGTCCTCGCGACGACGAGTAGGTCAACGCCATGACATTGTGGCCCAGCAGCCCGCGCCGATCATCATCAACTACCTGGTGTTTCCTGGCACATTGGGGGCCCCGTACGTCGATTATCTGCTTGCGGATGTCCACGTGGCACCACCAGAGCACGCACGTATGTACTTACTTGGATGTTGGCACACGTCTATGTCAATACTATGTAGACCACTTTGTTGAAAAGCTCTTGTATGTACCGCATTCGTACCAAGTCAACTACTTTGCATCGCCCGTGCCTTTCTCCGAGACGCGGCGCACCGGGCGCTTTGTTTTTGCCAACTACAACAAGATCGACAAGCTCGAGCCGCGCGTGTTCAGCGTCTGGATGCAGATCTTACGCCGGGTACAAGCAGCAGTGCTCTTCCATCCCGTGTAATAATGCCAAGGCATAGGTGCCCCGGAGCGAGTTGTGGTTGCTGGCGCCAACGTCGACCAAGACAGAGCAGCTGACGATGCGGCATGTGCACATGGAAGCTGCTGTCTATGGCATTCCACCATCCCGCATTCGGTTTCTACCACGGTACGCCCTTGGTATTAATGACGAACAAGCACACGATGGGTTGCGTAGCGTAACCAAGGCGGCCCACTTGGCGCGCCAGGCCGACGCGGATTTGTTTCTTGATACCTTTGTGGTACTGCTACTCCTTTCCTCGCAATACGACGCTGTCATGCTCTTGGCTGCTAGTACGGTGCGCACTCGACGGCGACCGATGCGATGTGGGGACACCTCCCCGTGCTCACCCTTGCCGGCGACTCCTTCACAAGGTGCGGCTTCCTAGACCTTCAACTCGAAACGAGTCATGTAGTCGCGTCGGCATCTCCTTGGCTACCAACGCCAATTCCGTCGAGCTCGTTGTCCACAGCGCCAAAGAGTTTGCCGACGTTGCGGGTAGGAGCACCCTCGGTCAACGTATTGTTCTGATATCGACTCCTGTCTGCTGCTAGTCTACCTGGCGAATCATCGCTCCTCGCTTGCTGCTTTGCAAAGGTCAATGGCCCTCGGCCAAGCGACGGCGCCACTCTTCAACACGGCCCAATATACTAGATCGTTAGAAGCTATGTACCGATTAGCCTACGAGCTGCACGTAGGCAGCTTATCTCGTCATCATATCGTACTCGGCGTATGATCAAGCGACTAAGTATAACAAGACCTACTTGTCTACGAATTCGAATTTGAATGTCGACAGCTTACATGGTCCAAGCCAAGGAGGATGGCAGGAACTCCACACAAAAAGCGTTCTTCTATATGCCCAACTCGTCGCCTTTGGCACTTCCCCGCATTTCGGCGGCAAAACACCGCCAGCGACGACCTACACCGTCGACCACGAACTTGGCCGACGGAGTACAGATTTGGGACTGAGTTCAACTCACTGCTTGTCAAGGCGTGACGACCAGTCAATTGAAACTTCGAGCGCGCCACGAAGTTCGCAGTTATTACATTGCATTTTGACAAGCACACTCGAAGTTCTTATAACGAGACATGTAATATTTAATGATCGTGCTCCGCAACTTCTGATGTAGTGTTCTAGTGGGTCAGGCCACTTGTGGTCATTCAAAGCGTGGCGTACATTCGATAAATGAGAGGGCTGCATTTTACCTGTACATGTCGTTGCAACCGAAGGCGCGGTCGGATATCCTGATCATGCCGATGCGAAGAAAATCGACTTACGGAACACTATTTCTTCATCGCCCAATATCGACGTGGTGTCCTACTATCGCGAGTGACGCAGTACATGACGTGGCACGCTCTCGATTAAGTGCGGTGTCTGGTCCTGGCATCGAACTTCGAAGCTGGGGCTCTATACTCGGATCAAGTGCCGTGACCGAGTGGGCTTGTATCGAGTGCGAATTCTTGTATCAAGGGATGAGTTGAGCGGTCTCACTAAGTTCGGATTTCGGGCAACTTGAAGAACGCCGGGTGTTGACTTGACACGATCGCGAGCGTGGGGCAGACAAAGATTGGATCTACGACCGAGCGATGAGCAGCGCCGCTGAAGTGTTTACGATCATGGCCGCGGCCGTCGCCGACGCCGGCGAAGCCCTCGTCAAGAAGGTCAACGGCAGCATCAAGTTTGACGTCAAGGGCGCGGGCATGTGGCTCATCAACCTCAAGGCGGCGCCGGGTGCGGTGACTGCGTCCAACGCCGGCGAGAAGGCCGACCTCACCATCACCATCAGCGAGCCCGACTTTGTGGACCTCATCAACGAGAAGCTCAACCCGCAAGCTGCTTTCATGAAGGGCAAGATCAAGGTCAAAGGCAACATGGGCCTCGCCATGAAGCTCTCGGCCGTCACGAACGCGACCAAGGCCTACTTGGCCAAGCAAAAGAAGTCTCCCGCGGCGGCGGCTCCGGTGGCAGCTGCGCCGGCGGCGACCAGTGGCTTGAAGTCGGCGGCGCTCTTTGTGGGCATTGGCGAAGCGGTCAAGACGCAGGGCCCGGCGCTCGTTGCCAAGGTCAAGGGCACGATCCAATTCAACATTGCGCCAGGTACGTCTACATATTGTTTGGATACACAAACCGTCGTCATTATCGTTATGGATCGTAGGTGGCGCGTGGTTCCTCGACCTCAAGAACGGCAACGGGTCGCTCGAAACAGGCTCCAAGCCGGCGGACTTGACCATCAACGTCTCGGACGAGGACTTTATGGCGATCGCGGACGGCAAGCTCAACGCGCAGCAGGCCTTTATGAAGGGCAAGCTCAAGGTCAAGGGCAACATGGGCCTCGCCATGAAGCTCAACATCGTCATTGATGCGGCCAAGCCCAAAGCCAAGCTCTAATCGTGTTGTCAATGAATTAGCCTTGTTGCGTTGCTTCTCTACAAGCTTTTACTTTCAAGGAAACCAGCATCGTTGCATTCGACTTGATGGCTGATGACATGTGAGCTCCATGAGTCTACCAAGGCTCGTTCAAGTTGATGCTTGGTGGCCTGCCCCTGCGACCACCATGCACGGGATAGCGTCGCTGGCCGTGTCGGTGCCGCAGTCCAATGCGGGGCTCTGCAATGTGTACCAGTTGTACGAAACGCTTCCGGGCGTCGCAATTGCTGGCGCCTTGGTCCAAATGAAGACGCGGTGGAGTACGCAGAATGAAGCAGTTGAGATGGGCAAGGGTCTTCTTTGGACTACTTATTCTAAACGATGTCCCCTCTTCCAGCCTCTAAGACATCATTACATTTCCTACAAACTAGCATGGCGATCGGCGCACAAGGTCGATACGTTTAGGGCGCAAGGTTGGCCTTGGAGCCGCGCTTCTTGTACTTGACCGTCTCCCAGCCATCTTCCTGGGCGTGCGTCGGCTCGACGCTGGGCGCGCTCACCGCGTCCTTAGGCACCTTGGACTTCTTGGCCTTGACCTTCTTCTCCGGTTCGGACGCCGACGCCGGCTCCGAGTCGGTGCCAGCGGCCGCCTTCTTCTTCTTGGCGGCCTTCTTCTTGGCGTTGCGCTTGCGGTTGGTCTCAGCGCGGGCGGCAGCTTCGTCCTCCGAGTCGGGAAAGTCACCGACAAACTGCTGCAAGTCGATGGGCTCCGACTCGACGGGCGCAGCCACGGGTGCCGGCGCCGGCGCTTCCTCCTTCTCCTTCTTCTTCTTGAGCTTCTTCGGGAGCTCCGGCGCCTTCTTCTTGATGGACTTGGCCGACGACGGCGCAGGCGCGGACGAGCCCATGGCGAAGTAGGCGCCAACGCCGGCGACGACAGCGGCGCCCGCAAGGAGCACGCCCGGTTGACTCAGAAGCTCGGCCATCGTGGTGCTGTGTGGTTTCGGCTGCAAATGGGAAAATGAACTCTTTGTCTTTGCCCCTCGTATTTTAAAAGATCGCTTCGATTTTTTAGAGGATACAAACACCAAGTGTGTGCCGATCGTCGCGCATTTTAAATACTGCATACAAACACCAAGAGAGGTTGAAACACCCACCCGCGAATAGAATTGCAATTGAAATACAAAATAAAAAACAAAAATAAAATAAATCGACTCGACAGCATCACTTCAAGAAACGTAAATAGTGTACGATCACAGCCACAGGAGGCCTTTGATGTCGACGTTCCTGTCGGTCTGTCGGGCACGAGTACAGCGTAGGTTGTGCTCTCTCGCTTGCATCCGCTTCTAGCAGTAACCCATTCCCTCCGCGTGTAACATGCAAGACTCACAAATGACCTTGTCCATGCACAACTACATTACCGGTATAGTAGAGCCTCTGGTCCATAGTTTCAATACACAGTGCGGCAAAGAATCGCCGCGGTGGATGCCGTGCTCTTCTGTGTTCAAATGTGCTTCTGCTACTGCCTTGTAGTACAACACAAACATACTGCGGTGCTATCCATGCCGTCACTCGATCCCATTGAAGGGAGATAGATATTCATGCCCGTCACATCCTCCAACACTATTTATGCTCCAATCCACAGCAACGGAATAAAAATGCGGAGAATATAATGCAACGACGTGCGCAATTTAATTGGCAGAGCCACAAGTGTCCACGTGTTGCGTGGCGTTTGTGACACCAAAATGACTTGGTGTCGAGCAAGCTTGTAATGGCGCGAGTTACTAGACGTCACTGCAGTAGCCAACATCGACGACGGCAACGACACCGGCCAACAACGGTACGGACGCCGATAAGAGCCCTTGAATCGCAGTGAGACGCACCGACGACGGCCCCATGGCCTCGTGCATAGTACGTTGTACTACACGGCGCCGTAGAAAGCGCTTACGTGAAAGCCTCGTAGGAGATGAACGACGAGCTTGTACAATGTGGGCGGAAAAACACCCACGGAGTTTTCCTTCGCTAGGCGGCTGATACGGTGGATCGTGCAATGCCGGTTCAGCGCGCCTCTGTCGTTGGCGCCGTGGCTCTCGCGACAAGCGTCACGTCCCCACTGCGTGTCGTCGATGACCTTCGTACCATTGATTGTCAAGATCGTTGTTGTCATCGTGTTCCGTGCCGTCGTCGTGACCGCTGGTGTCGAGGGACATGTTGTAGACTGTCAGTGTCGGCGACAGCGACGTGTTATATGCTGTCGGTACCGGTGCCGGCGACGGGTTGTAGATTTTTGATACCGACGTAGTAGCTTAAAGCCTTATAATGAGCCACGTTGCTGTGTCTTCGACGCAGCGCACTACGCTGGGAGCACGGCAGTAGAGTCACGTTGTGGGCGTCATCCGTTGTCTGCGTGCGTGTGTCGACGTCAAACGTCAAACGTCAAACACATCAGCGTCCTTCTTCAGGCGTCGGTGTCAAAACGATGCGGCGTTGTCGTTGGTGTTGTCGGGCGTTGTGCTGCCACCGTGATGGTTCGTCGTCCGAGGTAGCACACTGTCCGCTGCCATCGCGCTGTCGGCTACCGCGTCCCAGTCGCCGTTCCAACGTCGTCGAGGGCCGCCCAACATTTTTATTGACCCTTGCCGACGTGTTGACTTGGCCTGATCTGCAACGCAAGGAGCCGAAGCAATATTTTCGAGAGCGCTTTTTTCAGAGTTCGCTCTCATCTACTCCCGCTAAGCAACCCGCCACGCCTCACCCGAGGTGCAGCGGTAATGCTGGCCTCGCGTCCCTTTTCCCCCTGAGCGAAGAAGCCACGTGAAAAAGCCAGCGACCATCTTGGCCCTGAGCTACGGCGTAGGTGACTGTTGCACGCGCCGTGTCGGCGTTGCGGGCGCCTATCATCTCGACGGAGGGCGTTGTCATGAGCGACCGTTGCACCGCCATGTCGATGTCGGGTGACGACCGTCTTCACTATGTATACCATCATAATAGGTCTTGCCACCGACCTGCCAACGGCGTTGCGAGCAACAATTGGCCATCATCATCGGGTGGCGTCGCAGTCGGCGAGCGTCATGGTGGCGTGTGGCCGGTGTACCGACGTAGCGATCTTGGTGTTACCGCAGCGGGTGGTCGTCGTGGGCTGGGGCGATCTCGTATCACCGGCGCGTCGCTATCAGGAGGTACCTCATCATCGCATGGCAACGGTGGCGACTAAAGCCGGGATGCGCTGCAGTCGTTCGTGCAGATGTCCGCGTGCCGCCATGCTCGTCGTGCGTCACGTTGTCGTTCTCCCCTGGCAACAATGCGATCGTAGTCGGGCAGTTGTTGTCTTGTCGCCTTGGTACCAGGTCTTGTACAGCTTGCGCTTTGGCATAGTGACCGTGACCCACCGATACGCGGCAGCTCGTAGTCTTCCCCTGGCCATGCAGGACCATTGTCGAAGCCGGGCCATCGAGTAAAGCTTTGTGGTAGAAATACATTTATTGTCGTTCAGGCTCAGTTACCGACGCCCGTCGTGGTTGTCGCCATGCGACGGGGAGTTGCCTGCCGGCTTGCCGGCAGCCCACTGCAGTTGTCGACATCTAACCGCAGTTGTCGGCGAACGACAATAGTTGCCGCAGTCCAACGGCGTGTCGAACCGCAACCCACGGTCATCGTTGGGGTGCTGTGCATTTCCACTCGACAGAGGTCCACCGGCGCGCTGCGCGTCAGAGTGCCGCGGTCGGCGGGCGACTGAGGGCTGTTGTTCGCGACCTAGTGCCATTTATTCTGTCGCGGATTTTTCGATGCCTCTCGGACGACTCGCAATGTTCTTCAACTTCATGGTGTCGCTAATGCCGCGTTAGTCAATAAAAGTACGCCTGTGCCGAGCCGCCCAACTACAATGGTGGTGTGACCCCATGCTAGCCGACAATTGCATTTTCGAGTGAAGCAAGACGTTGATGCGTCTGCGCTGCGTCGGCGGCTACCTGCTGCTCGAGATCCGACAACCGTTGCAGTAACCCGGCGTTGGCTGCCGTCGCCATCTCGAGTTGCTCTTGGAGAGAAGTGGCTTGGTCGTTGAGGCGGCTCTCGCACACTTGCAGCTTGATGTCGAGTTCTTGAACTTGTGAGACGAGGTACGGAATGAGTCCAATGTAGTTCATCGAGAGCATGCCGTTGTTGTCGACAGACACGAGGTGGGGTAAGCACGTGGCTACTTCCTGCGCCAGGAAACCGGCTTGCAGACCCGGTGGCGCCTGCGTAGTATTGGTCCACTCGAACTCAATCTACGCAAAGCCAGCATCAATCTTGTAACAAATTCATAAAGAAATTGTACCGGGTGGAGAGTATGAAAGATGGCGGACGGCATAGACGCCGGGCGTAGCACTCGCTTTAGCCGCGCGTCCGACGGCTGTATCGTCGCTGCACCAGAAATAGTACCACCTACCCAGATTCCGCCGCCGACACCGATGCCACCTGCAACTTGGAGGGCCCCAGTCGTCGACGACGAGGCACCTGCCGTTGAAGACAGCACAACGCTGCCTGAGATTGAAGCACCACCGCTGCTAATCGTGAGGCCTCCGGCGCATGAGGCGCCATTCAACACTGACAAGCCCGAGTTGAGCGTTGCCGAACCGGTCACTTGGAAGCCACCTGTAATAGAGGCGCCACCGGCAGAGATCGTGAGTCCGCTTGCCGTGATTGTAGCGCCGTTGGCAAACGTAGTTGTCCCCGAAACGGCAAGACCTGCATTGAGCGAGGTGGCCCCGCTGACAACCAAAGTGCTCGAGGCCGTGACCGCACCCGTAATAGAGGCGCCACCGGTCGATACGACGAGACCACCGGCGACAGAGGCCCCCCCGGCAGCCACCACGAGACCGCCTTGACGGACCGTTGTCTTGCCGCTGGCAACCACGTCAAAGAGCGCAGTCGTCGCACCACCGACAACCGTGTAGGCTTGTAGGATGTAGAACGTTGCGGCATTTGTCGCAGCGGAGAGCTCTAGAACGGATTTCGTTGATGACGACGCCGTAGATGCGATGACGGCGACGCTTGAGCTCGCATCGTTGCTCGAAATAGAAGCTGTGGATGCCACGGAGAGTGCCCCATTCAAAGTGGTCGCACCGCTGACAACCAAGGTACTCGATGCAGTCACCGCACCAGTGATTGCCGCGCCACCGGCACTGACAGTCAGCCCAGCTGTCCCAATGGTCGCACCGGCTGAAAGCGTCGCCACGCCCGAGACCGCAAGAGTGCTCGAGGCCGTGACCGCACCTGTAATAGAGGCGCCACCGGCAGAGATCGTGAGTCCGCTTGCCGTGATTGTAGCGCCGTTGGCAAACGTAGTTGTCCCCGAAACGGCAAGACCTGCATTGAGCGAGGTGGCCCCGCTGACAACCAAAGTGCTCGAGGCCGTGACCGCACCCGTAATAGAGGCGCCACCGGTCGATACGACGAGACCACCGGCGACAGAGGCCCCCCGGTAGCCACCACGAGACCGCCTTGACGGACCGTTGTCTT